AATTGATAAGTTTTTTTAGAAACAATTCAGCCAAATGGTTATTAAAATTTTATTTTTTTTGGCAACCACAAGTTCTATGTGTAAACTTAACAGAAAAGAAAAGTCATGAAAATACAGAAATAAAATAAAATTTTAAGATAATTTGATGAAAATCTTTAAAAACAAAATGCATTTGATAATGAATATACCAAATAAACTTTTTTATTGTCCTCATTATTGTGACTTATGGGGACTTTATTCTCTCTGTCTTTTATCTGGCTCACCCATACATTTTTAAATCAATATGACAATACTATACTTAAAAGTTGTAATAAGTTTAGTTTTGTTTGACTCTTTGAAGTCAGAACATGATTTGACCTGTTAAAGTCAGTTTACAGAACAAAATTTCCAATCAAAGCTAGGTGTACTTCCTTTAAGCCCTGCTTCTGAATCTGCCATTTTCGAGTTTATTATTTGATAAGTTTTTAGAAACAATTAAGTCAAATGGTTATTTATTTTAGGGGATCTTACATATATTTCCTGTGTCTTTTATCTGACATTCCCATACATTCATTAAATAACATATGGCAATGCCCAGCTTATATATTTCAATAAATTTATTTTAGTTTTGGACTGACTCTTTTAAGTCAGAACATGATTTGACCTGTTTAAAACAAAATACATTTAATATTGAATATACCAAGTAAACTTTTTTATAGTCCTCATTATTGTGACTTATGGCTACCTTATTTCCTCTGTCTTTTATCTGGCTCACCTATATATTTTTAAATCAATATGACAATACTAGACTTAAAAGTTGTAATAAGTTAAGTTTTGTTTGACTCTTTGAAGTCAGAACATGATTTGACCTGTTAAAGTCAGTTTACAGAACAAAATTTCCAATCAAAACTGGTCTTTTTCTCAAAGCCCCCCCCCCTAATCTGAATCTGCTACTGTTGAGTTAATTAATTGATAAGTTTGTTTAGAAACAATTCAGTCAAATGGTTTTAAAATAATTATAACCAAAAGTTCCATATGTTAACTTAACAGAAAAAAAAGTCATAAAAATTTTAAGATAATTTGATGAAATTTGTAAACAAAATACATTTGAATATTAAATATACCAAATAAACTTTTTTATAGTCCTCATTATTGTGACTTTATTATTGGGTGTCTTTTATCTGATTTTCCCATACATTCTTAAATGCATATGACAATTCCAGACTTAAAAGTTGCAATAATTAGTAAAAGTATAGTTTTTGACTGACTCTTTGAAGTCAGAACATAATGTGACTTGTTCAAGTCAGTTTGCACAACAGGAGTTACCTCAATGAAATATTAAGATATCAAATATATACCAAATTAACTTTTATATAGTTCTAAAAATTGTGACTTAATATTTGTGATCTTTTTTCCTACTTGTATCCATACATTCTAACAATCACATCACAATCATGACAATGCCCGACTGTTACAGTTGCAATCCATTTAGTGTTTGACAGACTCTTATAAGTCAGAACATGATTTGACCTGCTTGAGTCAGTTTACAGAACACAATTTCTAATCAAAGCTGTGTGTTCTTCCTCTTAGTCCCCTTCTGAATCTGCCACTGTTGAGTTTATTAATTGATAAGTTTTAAGAAACAATTAAGTCAAATGGTTATTTATCTTAGAGGATCTTGCATGTATTTCGTGTGTATTTTATCTGACTTTTCCATACATATCATTAATATCATATGGCAATGCCTGACTTAAAAATTTCAATAAATTTAGTTTTTGACTGATATTTTTAAGTCAGAACATGATTTGACCTGTTTAAGTCAATTTGTCAGAACATAATTTGACCTGTTCAAGTCAGTTTGCAGAACAAAATTTCCAATTAAAGCTAGGTGTACTTCCTTTAAGCCCTGCTTCTGAATCTGCCATTTTTGAGTTTATTATTTGATAAATTTTTAGAAACAATTAAGTCAAATGGTTATTTATTTTAGGGGATCTTACATATATTTCCTATGTTTTTTATCCGACGTTCTCATACATTCATTAATATCATATGGAAGTGTCCAACTTTAAAATTTCAATAAACTTAGTTTTGGACTGACTGTTTTAAGTCAGAACATGATTTGACCTGTTTAAAACAAAATACATTAAATATTGAATATACCAAATAAACTTTTTTTATAGTCCTCATTATTGTGACTTTAGGGGACCTTATTTCCTCTGTCTTTTATCTGGCTTTCCCATACATTTTTAAATCAATACGACAATACTAGACTTAAAAGTTGTATTAATAAGTTTAGTTTTGACTGACTCTTTGAAAGCAGAACATGATTTGACCTGTTAAAGTCAGTTTACAGAACAAAATTTCCAATCAAAGCTAGGTGTTCTTCCTCTAAGCCCCCCCCCCCCCCCCTAAATATGAATCTGCTACTGTTGAGTTAATTAATTGATAAGTTTTTTTAGAAACAATTCAGCCAAATGGTTATTAAAATTTTATTTTTTTTGGCAACCACAAGTTCTATGTGTAAACTTAACAGAAAAGAAAAGTCATGAAAATACAGAAATAAAATAAAATTTTAAGATAATTTGATGAAAATCTTTAAAAACAAAATGCATTTGATATTGAATATACCAAATAAACTTTTTTATAGTCCTCATTATTGTGACGTAAGGGGACCTTATTTCATCTGGCTTTTATCTGGCTTTCCCATACATTTTAAAATCAATATGAAAATCCTAGACTTAAAAGTTGAAATAAGTTTAGTTTTGTCTGACTCTTTGAAGTCAGAACATGATTTGACCTGTTAAAGTCAGTTTACAGAACAAAATTTCCAATCAAAACTAGGTCTTCTTCCTCTAAGCCCCCCCCCCCCCCCCCCCCCCCCCCCCTTTTTCCCTTTATCTGAATCTGCTACTGTTTAGTTAATTAATCATGTTAATTGATAAGTTTTTTTAGAAACAATTCAGTCAAATGGTCTTTAAAATAATATTTTTTACAACCAAAAGTTCCATGTGTTAACTTAACAGAAAAGAAAAAGTCATGAAAATACAGAAATAGAATAAAATTTTAAGATAATTTGATGAAACTTGTAAACAAAATACATTTGAATATAACATATACCAAACAAACTTTTTTATAGTCCTCATTATTGTGACTTTATTATTGGGTGTCTTTTATCTGTTTTTCCCATACATTCTTAAATGCATATGACAATGCCAGACTTAGAAGTTGCAATAATTAGTTAAAGTATAGTTTTTGACTGACTCTTTGAAGTCAGAACATAATTTGACCTGTTTAAAACAAAATACATTTAAATATTGAATATACCAAAAAAACTTTTTTATATAATCCTCATTATTGTGACTTTAGGGGACCTTATTTCCTCTGTTTTTTATCTGGCTCTCCCATACATTTTTAAATCAATATGACAATACTAGACTTAAAAGTTGTAATAAGTTTAGTTTTGACTGACTCTTTGAGGTCAGAACATGATTTGACCTGTTAAAGTCAGTTTACAGAACAAAATTTCCAATCAAAGCTAGGTGTACTTCCTTTAATCCAGGAAAGTCCTTGCTTTCAGACTGCTTCTGAATCTGCCATTTTCGAGTTTATTATTTGATAAATGTTTAGAAACAATTAAGTCAAATGGTTATTTATTTTAGGGGATCTTAACATATATTTCCTGTGTCTTTTATCTGACGTTCCCATACATTCATTTAATATCATATGGCAATGCCCGGCTTAAATATTTCAATAAATTTATTTTAGTTTTGGACTGACTCTTTTAAGTCAGAACATGATTTGACCTGTTTAAAACAAAATACATTTAATATTGAATATACCAAATAAACTTTTTTATAGTCCTCATTATTGTGACTTATGGGGACCTAATTTCCTCAGTCTTTTATCTGGCTTACCTATACATTTTTAAATCAATATGACAATACTAGACTTAAAAGTTGTAATACGTTTAGTAAGTCAGAACATAATGTGACTTGTTTGAGTCAGTTTGCACAACAGTATTTACCTCAATGAAATATTAAAATAATAAATGTTTTGCTCTTAATACATTTAGCTTAAAGTGGATGAGAATATATCTTTTATTAACATAGTCTTATCATGAATAAGTGTCTTGTTTTTCCTTGGAAGATTTGAAGTATTGTCATGTAATGTATCCAATATTGTATTTTGTAAATCTTTTGATATTCAGAAAATTGTATGATCCATTTTTTCTCACCTGGTTTTTCTTTGAATTGTATTTTGAAATAATTGAAAGTGATGAGATAAATATATTAGGTTTAGATTCTGGAAAGGAGAAGGTATGATGTCAGATGAGCCCCACTTTTTAAAACTCTTTAATTCGAAACTAGTAATCACCATATTTTTATGGAGATTGATAACAAAGTGGTAGTAATGACTGCTTCAAATCAGAACAAAAATGACCTCTCGAAGTCAAAATGCATTAAAAAGGGGCATAAATCTTATTAGAATATGAAGATATTAAGTCACAATATTTTGTGCAAAATCTGACCTGTGGAAGTCATTTTATGATAAATTAAAGTCTGACATAAACTGACCTGTACAAGTCATATTCTGTTGAGTGCAAGAAGGGAGACAACACTTACATCAAATTATATCTGACCTATGGAAGTCATTTTATTCTGACTTGTTTATGTCAGAGCTCTGACTGTTCATGTCATTGGCAATTATACCACATCTTATTTTTATACTCTTTAAGTAGTCATGTTGTCAAGAAAATGCTCAGGATACCTTATAATTAAAACATAGAAAATCAATACATGTATATTTTTGTATAAACACCTTATATTTCAAGTAAACAGGAAGAGTATTTATAAAAATATTTCCTGGAACATGAAGTCACAAAATTTGAACGATACACATACACACACACATATAATTCATAATAATTGAGATTTTCTGTTATTCTTATATATGAAGTAGAAATGAAAACCCCTATGATTTTGATGTTTTAATTAGGGTTTATCTATTTGTCTATTTTAAAGGCGAACCAGTCCCAGGATTTCATTACCTTGTCAGATTCCAAGACAGACTTGTTTGGGTTATGGTTCTTGAAAGAGGTTATGGATTCTGTTCTTTAAATATTAAAGGATTGGAGTTGCAGGAAACATCTTGTCACACAGCTGAAGCAGCAAGGATAGATGAAATATTTGAATCTGCATTTGAAAAGGAAGATGCTTCTTGTATAGGCTATCTGAATGAGTATCCAATGCACACATTGACACCTATGGATTCTGCTAATGTAGAGGCATATTCTGATGCCAGAAATGTTCTGACAGGAATAATAGATTATCCTGCTAATTATGATATTGTCATGTCTTCTTTCATCAAAGCTTTAGTATGGGTTCTAATTAGACATGTGAATCAGATCAAATTGAAGGAAGGAAAGAAAAAGGGGGATGAAAGTTTGACGAAGGCTAGACAAAAACCTGTTGAAAAAGTAGAATTGACAGAATTTAAAAAGGAATCTAATAATAACTTTTCAAATGGTCTCAATGGTAACTTAAGGCATTCCAATAATGTTACAAATACAGAAAATACAAGGAAAGGAAACTTGCCATCAGTTCATAAAACAACAGTGGAAGTTGTGGTAGATAAGGATAACAGAACAACTGTCCGTCCACCATCATCAAGGTCTGTTAAAAGGAAGTCATCATGGTCTTCTCTCAATAGTTTTACTGACAGTATATTTTCTGAAGATGGTTTATTCAATGATAAGAAACCACCTAAAAAAGAAATAAAAAAGCCAATAATATCAAATAAAACATTGAAATCTGATGACGATATTGACGTCCTTGATGAGATGTTAGATGACCTTGACTTTGGGTTACCAGCTATGGATATTAACCAGAGATCAAAACCTGTCAACAATACATCAAAGGCTCCAATAAAAAAGAACCAGTTTTCTTATGGTAACACAATTTATAAACCTGTAACCAATCTAGCAGGGTCACCTGACTTTAAATGTTCACACTCCACTCAGATAAGTTTACCATCTAGGTGGAGAGAATTGCCATTAGAATATTCTCAGCTGTCTCGGTACTTAAGTAAATTTCCACGTGATTGGTACAAACATGTATTGGGTACATTGGACTGGTCAAATACTGGACTGTCAACACAGCAAGTACTTGGAGAAGTAACTGGGGATGAAGCTCTACTTAATTGTTACTCACAGCTTATAATGGCTTGTTATTCTATTTTTGAATCAAATGGTATGTTTAATAATTGTATATTATATTTCAACACATACATATTTTTTTGTATCATTTTGTTTTGTTTTATTTTGTAAGAAAAACGATAAAGAAATGGTAGATTTATAGTATTACACATATTACATAAGATTAATTACATTTTGTACCAGAAAATTTACTTGTCTGCTAATTCCTTTGATAATCTACACATTGATACAAAAAAGTCTAAAGCAGCTACAAGTGACACATCACTGATCATGCTGATTAAGGGGTTATAGTCATTTATATAAATGAAACTTACCTTTATGATTTATTGATTATGTTGTGCATCTAGATCTTTAAAACATGATGACACATTATTGGAATAATTGTACCAGTACTAGTAGATAGTAATTGATGACATTTATAAATATGTTGTTGTCTAGGAAATTATAGTCTAAAGTGAAGTAAATATAGGCTTAAATCCACCATTTTCTACATAAGGAAATGCCTGTACCAAGTCAGGAATATGACAGTTGTTTTCCATGTTTGATGTTTTTGAGCTTTTGATTTTGCCATTTGTTGAGGGACTTTCTGATTTGAATTTTCCTTGGAGTTTGGTATTTTTGTTATTGTACTTTTTCCCATTAGTTCTCTTCCTGAATATGTATAAGATAGCTGCCATTGCACATTAATCAAGAAACAATCAATCAGTGATATCATAAGAGGTCGTTAGTCATTATGGCATACATAATGTTTTGTCAAAGTTCAATTTTCTTCTATGACATTTTTAATGACTATCTTGAGTTTATAGAGACAGATGTTGGAAAGAAACAAACATTGTAGCACAATAAATTGATCTTAATTATTACACAGGAAGTGTAAAAAGTGCTAGTCAGTTGTACAAGTATTACAATGGTGATCTACCATGAAATGCTATGTTAAATTGTACTTGTACATTTCAGGAAGTGTTAAAAGTGCTAGTCAGTTGTACAAGTATTACAATGGTGATCTACCATGAAATGCTATGTTAATTTGTACTTGTACATTTCAGGAAGTGTTAAAAGTGCTAGTCAGTTGTACAAGTATTACAATGGTGATCTACCATGAAATGCTATGTTAAATTGTACTTGTACATTTCAGGAAGTGTTAAAAGTGCTAGTCAGTTGTACAAGTATTACATTGGTGATTTACCATGGAATGCTATGTTGGATTGGTTGTCAGAAGACAAGCAGTTACATAACCTAGTTCTTAGATCATACAGGTAATTTAAAAAAAGAAATCTCTGTTTTAACCAAAAAATCAACAACAGTTTTTTGCAAGGTGCAGTATGCAAGACATAGGTATTACTATGTGGTGGTGGCGGCGGCGTAAACTATTTGTATAAAGCTTTATATTTCAGAAGGTAGAAGACCTGGATGCTTCATATCTTGTACGCAGATACCTTATGTTACGAAGCTTCCGTCAATCATATGTCCATTATCCTTGACCTCATTTTCATGGTTCAGCAACTGCTTGAAAAACTAGAGGCTCTAAAGAGCCTGTGTCGCTCACCTTGGTCTATGTGCATATTAAACAAAGGACACAGATGGATTCATGACAAAATTGTGTTTTGGTGATGGTGATGTGTTTGTAGATCTTACTTTACTGAACATTCTTGCTGCTTACAAATATCTCTATCTATAATGAACTTGGCCCAGTAGTTACAGTGGAAAATATTTTGTAAAAATTTACAAAAATTTACAAAATTTATGAAAATTGTAAAAAATTGACTATAAAGGGCAATAACTCCTTAAGGGGACAATTGACAATTTTGGTCATGTTGACTTATTTGCTGTAAATTATTGCTGTTTACAGTTTATCTCTATCTATAATAATATTCAAGATAATAACCAAAAGCTGCAAAATTTTCTTAAAATTACCAATTCAGGAGCAGCAAACCAACAACGTGTTGCCTGATTGGTCTGAAAATTTCAGGGCAGATGGATCTTGACCTAATGAACAATTTTATCCTTGTCAGATTTGCTCTAAATGCTTTGGTTTCAGATATATGAGCCAAAAACTGCATTTTACCCTATGTATTATTTTTTAGCCATGTCGGCCATCTTGGTTCGCGGGCTGGGTCATCAGACACATTTTTTAAACTAGATACCCTAATGATGATTGTGGACAAGTTTGGTTAAATTTGTCTTAGTAGTTTCAGAGGAGAAGATTTTTGTAAAAGATTACAAAAATTTACGAAAAATGGTTAAAAATTGACTATAAAGGGCAATAACTCCTTAAGGGGTCAACTGACCATTTTGGTCAAGCTGACTTATTTGTAGATCTTACTTTGCTGAGCATTATTGCTGTTTACAGTTTATCTCTATCTATAATAATATTCAAGATAATAACCAAAAACGGCAAAATTTCCTTAAAATTACCAATTCAGGGGAAGCAACCCAACAACGGGTTGTCAGATTCATCTGAAAATTTCAGGCCAGATAGATCTTGACCTGATAAACAATTTTACCCCATGTCAGATTTGCTGTAAATGCTTTGGTTTCAGAGATATAAGCCAAAATCTACATTTTACCCCTATGTTCTATTTTTAGCCATGGCGGCCATCTTGGTTGGTTGGCTGGGTCACCGGACACATTTTTAGCTCACCTGGCCCAAAGGGCCAAGTGAGCTTTTCTCATCACTTGGCGTCCATCGTCCATCATCCGTCGTCCCTCGTCGGTCGTCCGTAAACTTTTACAAAAATCTTCTCCTCTGAAACTACTGGGCCAAATTTAACCAAACTTGGCCACAATCATCATTAGGGTATCTAGTTTAAAAAATGTGTCCAGTGACACTGCCAACCAACCAAGATGGCCGCCATTGCTAAAAATAGAACATAGGGGTAAAATGTAGATTTTGGCTTATATCTCTGAAACCAAAGCATTGAGAGCAAATCTGACATGGGGTAAAAATGTTTATCAGGTCAAGATCTATCTGCCCTGAAATTTTCAGATGAATCGGACAACCCGTTGTTAGGTTGCTGCCCCTGAATTAGTAATTTTAAGGAAATTTTGCCGTATTTGGTTATTATCTTGAATATTATTATAGATAGAGATAAACTGTAAACAGCAATAATGTTCAGCAAAGTAAGTTCTACAAATAAGTCAACATGACCAAAATGGTCAGTTGACCCCTTAAGGAGTTATTGCCCTTTTATAGTCAATTTTTAACAATTTTTCGTAAATTTTTGTTATCTTTTACAAAAATCTTCTCTGAAACTACTAAGATGAATTTAACCAAAGTTGTAAACAATAATTATTAGGGTATGTAGTTTTAAAATTGTGTCTGATGACCCTGCCCGCGAACCAAGATGGCCGACATGGCTAATAATAGTACATAGGGTAAAATGCTGTTTTTGGCTCATATATCTAAACCCAAAGCATTTCGAGCAAATCTTTCAAAACAAAATTGTTCATTAGGTCAAGATCTATTTGCCCTTAAATTTTCAGACCATTCAGGCAACCCGTTGTTGGGTTGCTGCCCCTGAATTGGTAATTTTCAGAAATTTTTTCAGCTTTTGGTTATTATCTTGAATATTATTATAGATAGAGATAAACTGTAAACAGCAATAATGTACAGCAAAGTAAGACCTACAAATAAGTCAACATGACCAAAATGGTCAATTGACCCCTTAAGGAGTTATTGCCCTTTATAATCAATTTTTAACAATTTTCATAAATTTTGTAAATTTTTACAAAATAATTTTCACTGAAACTACTGGGCCAAGTTCATTATAGATAGAGATAATTGTAAGCATCAAGAATGTTAAGTAAAGTAAGATCTACAAACACATCACCATCACCAAAACACAATTTTGTCATGAATCCATCTGTGTCCTTTGTTTAATATGCACATAGACCAAGGTGAGCGACACAGGCTCTTTAGAGCCTCTAGTTTAAACTAGATACCCCAATGATGATTATGGCCAAGTTTGGTCAAATTTGGCCCAGTAGTTTCAGAGGAGAAGATTTTTGTAAAAGTTTACGGACGACGGACGCAGGACGATGGACACAGGACAATGGACGACGGACGCCAAGTGATGATAAAAGCTCACTTGGCCCTTTGGGCCAGGTGAGCTAAAAAATTGAGTTTTTTTGTCATGTGAATTTCTCACTTATTATGAGTAATAGGATAACTATATTTGGTATATGGGTTCCTTGCAACGTCTACATGTACGTCAGACAGAGTTCACCTGACTTCGACCTCATTTAATGGATCAGTGATCAAGGTTAAAGTTACATGATTAGGTCTGTTTCTCAAATACTGTAAGCAGTAGGTCAACTATATTTGGTGTATGGAATGATTGTAATGGGTACATGTCATTCTGGCAGGTTTCATCCGACCATTACCTCATTTTCATGGTTCATTGGTCAATGTTAAGTTTTTGTGTTTTGGTCTGTTTTTAAGTACTATAAGCAGTATGTCAACTATATTTGGTGTATGGAAAGATTGTAAGGTGTACATGTCTGTCTGGTAGGTATCATCTGACCTTGACCTCATTTTCATGGTTCATTGGTCAATGATAAATTTTTGTTTGTTTATGTATATTTTTCAAGTACTATAAACAATAGGTCAACTATATTTGGTGTATGGAATGATTGTAAGGTGTACATGTCTGTCTGGAAGGTATCATCTGACCTTGATCTCATTTTTTTGGTTCAATGTTAAGTTTTTGTGTTATGGTCTGTTTTTCAAATACTAATAGCAAAAGTCAGCTATATTTGGTGGTTGGAATAATTGTAAGGTGAATCTGTCTGTCTGGCAGGTATCATCTGACCTTGGCCTCATATTTATGGTCCATTGATCAAGTTAAGTGTTTGTGTTTTGGTCTGTTTTTCAATTAGCATACCCAATAGGTCAACTTTATTTGGTGTATAAAAAATTGTAAGGTGTATATGTCTGTCTGACACAATTGATCTGACCTTGACCTCATTGTCATAGATTTTTTTTAAAATGTTAAGTTTCTGTAATGCTTATTTTAAAACCTTTATCTTTAAGTCGTTCAACATAAAATTAATGATCAGTAAAGCAGGCGAGACATTTCAGCATGTGCACTCTTGTTAACTAAATTTGATGCACATAGGTATTTTAAATATTTGCAATATGCATAGAAGTCAACCCCCCTTTGTTGAAATCAGTAAAAAAGTATTAAGATTTATGTAATTTGGTATTTTTTTTCATAAAATCTAATAATAGTCATACTAAGTCATACTAACAACTAGACACACAGTGACATATTAATGACTTCCTTTATTTATGACAACTAAGATTCAAAGTTAATAAGCAAGTGAAAAACACTAAACATCACGCTGAATGGAAGTCACAAAATTTGCATAAGGCATAGTACTCTGGTTTCTGATTTCGTTGATCTGAGTTTTCTTTCCTTACTGCAGAAATTCATTGTTCCATCAAAAACAGTAAAATTGAAAACAGAGACTTGCTGCTTTCATTAATTTTTCGAAATGGAACAGGAAATGGATAGATCGCTTTCTGCTTAAGGTAGCACGGTAGTATTTACATTCCGGAATTTAGGTTGCTCTTTTGTGTACCCTACTTAAGTTTATGTATCTGAACAGTATGATTGGACAAAAAATACAGTATCTACTGAACATACTTTCCCAAATTGAGGGATGAATCAGGTGTAGAAAAATAAGAAATAATTTTACATACAGGTGAAAATGAATTTTTAAGAATTTTTACAAATTTTGTATTCACTGCATGATAAAAGACCTAAAAGCACTAGTGGCCTTATAAAGATAGCAAAAAAAGTAAACGGTCATCATACATATTCAAATTAATTTCTGAATATTATAATGAAAGTACTTCAGTTTACTATGCATGTAGAATTTTGGGCAGTGTTAGAAAGTGGTGAAAATTCTACAGGGAACTGTTCTGTACAGGTAATGAAGGAAAATCCGTAACAAATAAGACTGTTAATTGTAGCACTGTATTTTTGGTCCAAAATTAGTAACAATTACTGAAAAATCGTAACGGTTGGCATCTATAAACATGTCATTCACATTCATCTTACTGGTATTAGGTTGAGTTGGATATAGATTATAACGGTGTCTGTTAAAACATGAATAATGTTGTCTTTTATAAAATTGTTGTTAACAGGATGCATTAAAACAGTAAGAAAAAAAATGTTCAGTGTCCAAAATGACATACATTTCTTTCATCTGGTTTATATTTTTATACAATATTACAGATATGGTTTCAAGTTGATGCTGGACCAGATATTGATAGGTGAAGCTAATACCCCAGAGGAGACCCAGGAATACTTTGAGGAGTATGACAAAGATTGGTACATTGGACTGGAGAAAGATGATGATTGGAAGGCTGCTGTATTGTCGTCAAGGAAACAATTATTCTCAATGGGCCACAATAAAGCACAGGTACAGAAGCTATATGAGTGCAGTTCTTTAATAACTTTTAAAATTATCGTTAATAGGGATCATGCTGCTAGTCATTTTTGTCAAAATAAGTGATTCTTTATTTCGCTTGATGACATAATACTGTTGCTGCTGATTTTTTGTCGAGCCTGCGACTTTTGTCGCAGAAAGCTCGACATAGGGATAGTGATCCGGCGGCGGCGGCGGCCTTAGCTAACTTCTTAAAAGCTTTATATTTTAGAAGGTGGAAGGTCTGGATGCTTCATACTTTGTATATGGATGCCTCATGTTACGAAGTTTCCGTCAGTCACATGTCCAATGTCCTTGACCTCATTTTCATGGTTCAGTGACTACTTGAAAAAAAAGTTAAGATTTTTTGTAATGTTAGATTCTCTCTTATTATAAGTAATAGGATAACTATATTTGGTATGTGCGTACCTTGCAAGGTCCTCATGCCCGTCAGACAGTTTTCACTTGACCTCGACCTCATTTCATGGATCAGTGAACAAGGTTAAGTTTTGGTGGTCAAGTCCATATCTCAGATACTATAAGCAATAGGTCTAGTATATTCGGTGTATGGAAGGACTGTAAGATGTACATGTCCAACTGGCAGGTGTCATCTGACCTTGACCTCATTTTCATGGTTCAGTGGTTATAGTTAAGTTTTTGTGTTTTAGTCTGTTTTTCTTATACTGTATGCCATAGGTCTACTATATTTGGTGTATGGAATGATTGTAAGGTGTACATGTCTAGCGGGCAGGTGTCATCTGACCTTGACCTCATTTTCATGGTTCAGTGGTCAAAGTTAAGTTTTTGAGTTTTGGTCTTTCTTTCTAATACTAAATGCAATAGTTTAACAATATTTGGTATGTGTGTACCTTGCAAGGTCCTCATGCCCGTCACACAGTTTTCACTTGACCTCGACCTCATTTCATGGATCAATGAACAAGGTTAAGTTTTGGTGGTCAAGTCCATATCTCAGATACTATAAGCAATAGGTCTAGTATATTCGGTGTATGGAAGGACTGTAAGGTGTACATGTCCAACTGGCAGGTGTCATCTGACCTTGACCTCATTTTCATGGTTCAGTGGTTATAGTTAAGTTTTTGTGTTTTGGTCTGTTTTTCTTATACTGTATGCCATAGGTCTACTATATTTGGTGTATGGAATGATTGTAAGGTGTACATGTCTAGCTGGTAGGTGTCTTCTGACCTTGACCTCATTTTCATGGTTCAGTGGTCAAAGTTAAGTTTTTGAGTTTTGGTCTTTTTTTCTAATACTATATGCAATAGGTCATCTATATTTGGTGTATAGAAATATTTTATGATGTACCTGTCAGTCTTGCAGGTTTTATTTGACCTTGACCTCATTTTCACGGTTCATTGCTCAGTGTTAAGTTTTTGTGTTTTGGTCTGTTTTTCTAATACTATAAGCAATAGGTCAACTATATTTGTTGTATGGAAGGATTGCAAGCTGTAGTACATGTCTGCCTGGCATTGTTCATCTGACCTTGACCTCATTTTCTTGGTTCATTGGTCAATGTTTAGTTTTCTTGGTTAAGTCTGTATCTTAGAAACTATAAACAATAGGTCAACTATATTTAGTGTATTGAATGATTGTAAGGTGTACATGTATTTCTTGTTTGGTTTATATGACCTTGACCTCATTTTCTTGGATCATGTTAAGTGTATGTGATAGTTGTAGTAAAGCTTTATATTTAGGACTATCAACATAATATCAATGATTAGTAAAGAAGGCGAGACATTTCAGCGTGTGCACTCTTGTCTTTCACAAACATGGCCTCAGTCAATTTTTTTTTTATGGCACATGTGTTGTAATTCCGTACAGTTTAAATTTATCAATAAATTCCTGTTAATTTGTAGTTTATGACATCAAAAACAATTACTTTGAAACAAAGAAATTTAGATTTTATTGATTGAAGAATTGCATGGTATTGATATTTACTTAAAAATAAGCATATAAGCTAGTAGTAGATGGCAATCCAATATCTATAATAAAATCCAATCCACCATTTTAAACAGGTTTCATTGGTTATAATAGAGTCACATCACACAATCTTTTGAATGCATTTAAAATGTACTTATGGTAATTATTTTTTTTTACAGAAAGACAAATTGAAAACATATCTTTATTTATTAATTTTATGCAAATATGTGTTTTTGAATTAAAATTTTTGATTGAAGAAGATCATAATAAAAGAGATCTTGAATATCAAACTTTTGTTTAATTTGGCAGAAGAAAACCAGGTTTACGGTGTTCCATTTTTTGTAGGGAACTTATAACAGTAGAGTTCTTTCCCTTCAACCAGTGATGGCACACATTGGGAGAATGAATCCAGAAGTAGTCAAGGGGCAGTGGGCCAATCTAAGTCTGGAACTATTATACCTAACCAACGATGACGAGGAACGTTACAGTATACAAGCACATCCCACAATTCTCAGAAATTTGACTGTACAGTCTGCTGACCCACCACTTGGATATCCTATTTTCTCATCTGAACCTATAAGCATTCCAACACTGTGATCTTAAATGAGATTTTATGATTTTATATATACACCCCAATGTGACCCCATTTAATTTCTGAAGAAAGATAATGCAATTTTTAATGAAATTTGATATTACTGAAGAAATTATTCTGGTAGTTTTCTTAATTTGTAACAGATCCTTAGAAGTTTCTTTTGCTCATGATTTAAAAAGTTTTATAGAAGGATCAGATTTAAAATATGTAATGAAGTTGTTGTTTGCACCAAACCTTTTATTTTATAATTAATTTATTTTGTTTTGATTGACAGAGAAAAATTTGATGCGTAAAATATTCACTTAGCAGTTTTCTTTATACATACATCAGATTATGAATTGTTTTCTTTATACATACATCAGATTATGAATTACCAGTTTTCTTTATACATACATCAGTTTATGAATTACAACTGTTACAATTTTTGTACATTTTATTTAATACCAAATGAATGAACTGAAAACTATAAAAACTTAATCATGAGTGGACTGGAAAAAAAAACCCAGTGTAAACTAAGGCTTTACTCGACAATTATAAGCATCTCAGGCTAATTTTAGGATATTTTTTGGAAGAGAGAACATCTTCTTTTATTTTGTAACTACCTGATATGACATTCACAAAACCAGTTCACGTCATTGGAAACAAGATTATATGGTGCCTGAAAAGTTAATTATATATATTTGTTGGCCTTATATCTAAACCAATATAAACTGTCAATGTTGGTGCCACATTATTGAGAACAAAAGCAATCTCCAATTTCTAGCAAGATTTTTGAGTTAATTAAAACAGATATTACTGTACTAGTTTTATCAACAGTGCATTGTTTCCACAGTAGAGAAAGCTTTGTGCAAAAACTACATGAACATTATTTTCAGAGTATATGTTTATGAACTGCCACTATAATTAGTGTTGTTAATTATATATTTTATTTGCCATAACAATCACTCTATTTTACAGATAAAAATCTTCATTTCGGTTTACAATACTGGTTTGGGATAGTTGCCTTAGGCTTCTTTGTTGTTGCTTAGAGGCAATAATTTTAAGAAGATATTATGATTTGTACATAAATGTTTATGTAATTCCCAACAAGAGACTTTATACTTAAGCTCTCCATTCTTTGTTTTACAGGAGGTTAAATATTATATATCATTCATATAGTTAATTTTGCCTGTCACTTTTCTGTTAGAAGGACCAGTTATCTCCACTTTAAAATCTATCTAATAATCATTAATATAATATTAGGGGGAAATTTAATACTAGAAGAGAAGAAAAGTTCACATAGAACCAACACAATTCTTTAGTTTCTTGATTTAACATTAGTCTTAAATTGTATTTGTCGGAAAGAAATTGATGTAACTTTCTCTAAAGGGTACTCGAAATTCAGTTGACAATATTTTTGTACTTTGAAATGTGCATGCTTAAAAATGTACAATATAAATCTAAGACAAAAGTTACTATTTTTTTTCAATTCAAGAGAAATTTTACAGTTTCCAAAAGTTAATGATAACATAATGCTGTAACACTGTTTCTGTATACAAGAAATTTGTGTTCACAAGTTCAAAATTGAGAGAAATTAGTATTTGTATCTTTACTGCTGAGTACTGTGGATTTTGATAAATGAGGAAAATGGAAAAGGGCTGGGGGTACATGAGACAAAAATTGCATGAAATACTAAAGAAACAATGGAACAACTCATAGGCAAAAATGTCTGTCTTAAGTAAACAGCAATATTTTTGAAGCATCAAGAAGGTTATTGCAAACATATCAAATGACAGTAAATAATAACTGATGGTAACTATTCCTTAACCAGTATTACATTTATAATCTGAGTGCAATCAATTGTGTTGAACTTGATTTAAAATGTTATTATTATGATTTTTTTTGTTTATTTAAGAACACAATTAGATATTACTTTACTATTTACTGATTCTCCTGTAAATTTTGTACACTTGTAGATCATGTCTTACTTCTATGAGGTGTGTAGTGACTTGACTGCATGTTGGGCAGATCATGTAGGATATTTTTGGTGAATATTTTATGAATAAACAAGGTTGATGAACTTTCCTTTCGTATTGATAACTTTTAGTTTCTATAGAGGAATTTCTTACTTCAAATTGATAAGCCTGTGCCATACATACTATGTAGTTTTTACACATATTTCAGTATCAAATGTGAACATATTTTCTAAAGTACACAGATAAATATTACTGTAATTCATACATGACAATAAAAAGTTAAGGACCATTTTGATATTTTTACTTAGGGCTTGGAGCAAAAGTGTTGTTTCTGGAAAAAACACCTGAATTGAAAGCAATCTATACCCCTCAGTGCTCACATGGGCTTGGATAAATGAGTTTACATCAGTTGTAAATGATCACTCACACAAAGATGTTTCTCAGTGCCATTTCGAGTCCATGGCTGCTACAAAAGATTTTCAACGAGAAATTAGACAATATTAGACACTATTTTAATAGAAAATATTAATAAATGGTCCTTAATTTTTTTTAGGGAGTATATATAGCAGATAAACTATTTTTAAAGTTTCAATTTTATTTTTAACAAATCATATCAGAAATCTCTACTTAGGAATTAGACTTACTTAAACTTTTATTATTTGCTAGTTGATTGGGTATATTTTATTATTATAATATAAATAATTATTATTGTTTAATTTTTATTTTTTCAAATATTACAATGAACATACATGTATGGACATTGATTGTGCAGGAAAACAAAAAAATCTCTCTTAATTGTACTGCTGTTGTTTTTTTTTTTTTGCTCCGACCAATGTTTGCTTAGGTTCAGCAGTTTTTAATCTTATTATTTATTGATTGATTGTATCTGTGATATGTTAAGAGATAGATATCAGTGCTGGATAAAACAAATGAGTTCAGGTAACTTTTTTTTAAATATTTTTTGCACTCCTAAGCTAAAAATGTACTCAAAACCTTTGTCTTTATTTATTGTTACCATTTTTTTTAAGATATATGTTTTTGTCAGTGTATGTCCTTTTGAATTTTATTCTTCATATTTTATTGAAAAATATTTTACTGTAAGATTGATATCTTTTTTAGCGGTTTCCAATTAAAGTTAATTCAGAAATTACATTGGATGTGAATAAAAACATTAATTCATGCAGTGAGATCTTTAAAAAAAAATTTTAATCTAAGAAAATTGTTCACAAGCATTAAATTGCTTTCCCTTATCTTATCAGTTATTGTTAGATCCTGCACCATACACAAATCTGTATCAATCAATTACAAGTATTTATGTGCCAGTAAATAGGCCAATATTAAAACATTATATGTATAGATACCTTTATACCAAATTGATAAAACCTCTTCAACCTTAAATGCAATGAGGGAAAACCTGAAATTATCAAAACCTTTTAGAGCTTTAGTGAGTGGACAAGTCAGTTTGTTTAAAAAGGCCTATTTAATATAACCTTAAAAATTTAACCAGTTGAGGTTAGGTAATTTAGGTAGTTTATAAAGTTATCAAAATATTTATTTGCTTATAAGTAAAACAGTTTAATTTTTATAAACATTTTGACCACAAGCTTTTATTTAATACTATATATATGCCGTCCTAAGCTTGTGTGTTTAAGGCTTACTATTGTTATAGATGTATCGATTGTTTTCTATTTGTTGTTATATATGGTGATATTCTACACAGATCTGAATTATGTGACATTTTGTAATAAATATTGTTTTGTGAAAACTTTTTTATGCCCCCGCCGTTGTGCCTTCCTTCTGTCTCATTCTCGTTTCTCCACACTAACTTAAGTTTTCCCCATCCAAATTTACAATGCTAAGAACCAAAACTCGCAGACAAAGTTAGAAATTTGGGCAGGGAGTCACTTACCGTTCTGAAGATATGCCGCTTTATAACATGAAAAATTGTCAATTTTTTCATTTCTGCACTCTAACTTAAGTTTGCCCCATGCAAATTTTATGAAGCTCATACACAATGTTAAGAACCAAAAACTTGCAGAGTTTGAAATTTGGGCAATAAGTCACTTTCTGTTCTAGAGTTATGCCCCAATATAACTTGGAAAATTGCTACTATTAAGGTTATGATTTATATTTTGATGCTTAGTTTATCAAATAAACAAGTAAAGCTAAATAAGAGATTAGATGTAAAAGAACAAAAGCATTATTCAAGAACTGAGAAATTCACTGGACACAACAGAACTTATTACATAAGAAATAAAAACAAAACAATGAAAATATGAAAATAACACACAGCTCAAAAATATCTAAGAGTAGAACAATTGAATTATTTTCAAGTATTATAAGCAAGCTTGATAGGGGCATTAGTGTCCTCAGACACATTCTTCTTTTATTTAAAACTATTTGATTACACGGCAAGACAATGTTGGGACTTGCGTCGCACCGTGCTGTTTTGAAAAATAATCCTTCTGTACCATAAAGAACTCTGTTAAGTGTCGTTATGAAACTAATCCAAATGCATGAAATTGGAAGTTCCTGTGGTATTTTAAAAATTTCTCAGACTAAATGGTTTTGTCTTTATAGCCTTGAAGCTAGATACAGATCAATGTAGCAAGATTTTAAGGATATGTTCTTTTTGCTAATTAAATTACATTTAATTTATGGGTATCCTGAATTATGAAAAAGGGGGCCCCATGGTAAGACACCTTTGGAGTGGGACTTGTTAAAAGTCTATGCATTTAACCATATATGTAGCTCCACAGTCGGAGTAACACATGACACAAACAAGGTACCTTCTATAGTATTCTATATGACATAACATTTGACCTGAATAAATGGTAAAAATCTGTCCAACATAGGTCATGCACATCTGCAATCACTCTTCTTAGGTTGAATAATGTTGAAGGAAAACTATTGGAGTTAAACATGACACAAAGTTGGTTCAATGGCTAACATGACATACTACAATAGCAAAATTACAGAATTTTTTTTTAATCTGTCTACTATAGGAGGTACACATCTCCAATATGTGTGCAGAGTTTGAATAATGTTGAAGGAAAACTGTTGACACTTTGCATGACACAAACTAGATATATGGGTTAATGACAGATTTACTGAATGATAGATGGATAGACTGTGTGAAGCAGTTACTTGACAGTATTAGTAAATTTATATGGATTTTCTTAGTTTTCCTGATAATCTTCTTCACTTGGTTCGTATGGTTTTCTTCATTTTCAGGGCACTTTTTTTCTACATATTTTTTTAAAGGCCTGTTAAAAAGAGTTAAGGACTTACTTTCCAGAATTAACATGAATATAAATGAAATATGATTAGACTGAAACATGACAACCAATCTACTTTAAGAAGGTTGCATGTAATTTAACTTTGTCAGCAAGATATTGTCACCTGACATTGACCTAATTTTCATGCTTTCTTGTATCAGTAGTAGTTTTATAAGAACACAAGGAAAGTTAACATATACCCTCACGACACTTACCACAGAGGAAATCCTGGATAATCATAGGTCTGTTCTATGTTCCTTTGGAATTTCAACCAAAGATGAAGAACTGGATCTTCCATCACTCTATTGGATACCTAAACTACATAAGTGTCCTTACAAACAACGGTATATTGCTCCACGAAACCTCTTTCTAAATTATTAACATCTATTTTATCAGCAATCAAAGCCGGGCTCCAAAGTTATTGTGAAACTGCCTATTCTAGAGGTGGCGTGAATCAGATGTGGATACTAAAAAATTCCAAAGATCTTTTAGAGTACATACAATCTAAGACTCTCTCATCTTGCAATAGTATTAAAACATTTGACTTTTCTACACTTTACACAAGTATTCCCCATTCCAAACTAAAAGACAAATTGAAAGAGTTGGTATTACTTTGTTTCATTAAAAAGAATGGCGAATGTAGATACAAGTATCTTGTCTTGGGGAGGGATAAATCCTACTTTGTAAAGAATCACTCTGATTCAAACAAAAAATTCTCTGAAACTGACATCATCAAGATGCTTGATTTCTTGATTGACAACATATTTGTTACGTTTGGAGGACGTGTTTTTCAACAAACTGTCAGAATTCCAATGGTAACCAATTGTGCCCCTCTTCTTGCCGACTTGTTTCTTTATTATTATGAGGCTGACTTCATACAGGAACTTCTTAGGAAGAAAGATAAGAAGTTAGCAATATCCTTTAACTCTACTTTCCGCTATATAGATGATGTTCTCTCACTAAATAATACAAAATTTGGTGACTATGTTGAACGAATCTATCCCATCGAACTAGAGATAAAGGATACTACAGATACAGTTAAGTCTGCCTCATATCTTGATTTACATCTAGAAATTGACAATGAGGGTCGGTTGAAAATAAAACTTTACGACAAAAGAGACTATTTCAGCTTCCCAATTGTGAACTTTCCATTTCTATGTAGCAACATTCCAGCAGCGCCTGCATACGGAGTATATATCTCCCAATTGATACGATATTCCCGGGCTTGTGTTTCCTATCATGATTTCCTTGATAGAGGATTGCTGCTCACAAGGAAGCTATTAAGCCAAGAGTTCCAAATGGTGAAGTTGAAATCATCCCTTCGTAAATTTTACGGACGCCATCACGAGTTGGTTGACCGTTATGGAATAACCGTTTCACAGATATCGGATATGTTCCTTATGTCGTAACTACAATACCCTTCCCTTTTCACGAATGTGACTTACCGAATTAAGACTATTTACCGGATTTGTAATAACATAAGCAACACGACAGGTGCCACATGTGAGCAGGATCTGCTTACCCTTCCGGAGCAACTGAGATCAACCCCAGTTTTTGGTGGGGTTCGTGTTGCTAAGTCTTTAGTTTTCTATGTTGTGTCATCTGTACTATTATTTGTCTGTTTGTCTTTTTATTTTTGGCCATGGCATTGTCAGTATGTTTTCGATCTATGAGTTTGACTGTCCCTCTGGTATCTTTCGTCCCTCTTTTGGGGTAAACATCAATGAGACAGTGACCTACAACACTATAGTGTGTGATAACATTTTGTGAGGGAATTCGATGTTTGCTATACCACAGTTCATTACAACGCATTTTATGACAATACCACTATACCAATCAGAATGAATGTTTTTGCAGTGTTTTGAGAAATGATTTTACTTTGTATCCATGTATTATTTGTAAAACATGAAATGTTTTAAAAGGGCGAATTTTCTGTATAAAGTCAAAAATTATATAGACTTTTGAAGCCCAAACTTTCTATTGCCTTAAATACACAAATGAAAGATGCGAAAACTATACCAATACAGAACGATATGTTTTTGAAATTATAGCAAAACTTTTGGTTGACAAATTTGTATTAGTTATTGCAAAAAATGAACTTAAAATATCTGTCATTTTCTCCCTACCCAGCTTACCCCTATTACTTATTATGATGTGGACAGGTCATCGTTATCAAATCTTTTGCAATTTGATTGGATTAAGTTATTATTAGTTTACCTTCAAACTGTTTATTTTTTTCATACATGTATTTTGATTAAATCAGAACATGCATGAATGTGTTCAGTAACTTAAACTGGACACTGGACGAGTCCATATTATTTTTTATCAATGAAACTAAAGGTGCGAAAGGTAAGAATTGCCACTTCTTATATTTTCACCAAATTTTCCACATATAAGTTAGTTAAATTATTTTTTAATAGCCTATTCTGGAGAAAAAAGAGAAAGTTTACAAATCTGACATTTTATCGCATTAAACAAGTCATTTTTCGAGGAGAAATGCCGAAATACATTTAACGCACGGCTACACCAGGTAAAATGATTGTTTATCTTAACAAAAAAAAACACTTTTCAGTCTCATTATAATGTTATAATGACATTTAATCCCAAACAAAAGTAGTCCGTAAATAAAGTCAAAATACGTCCGATCTGCCTATTTTTGGACATCAAAATTCAATACGATCTTTTTAAGGCCAATTTCGTCTACCTCACAAAATCTTGTTAGGCACTTATAAGGCTATTAATAACAAGTTCTTTTTAGCACTCACCTTCCCCTTATTTATTTCAAAAATTCGTAAGGGTTCCGCGGAACCCAGTGTCTCGCCTACTTTTGCTGTTAATCGCAGGCTCAACAAAAATGAGGAAAAAAAATCAATAAAAATATTCCTTTAGATACTATCTTTTGATTGTAAGAAACTTCTGTCAAAGTTTGGTATAAATCCAGGATAGTTTATGAATCTAATAAATGTTTTAAAAACTTTAACTGCAGACTGTATTTAATGTTAACTGGAAGAAAAACTAAGTCCATTTATAAGTAAAATACAGATAAACAGGTACAAATTTTAACAAAATTTCCTTCTAGATACTAGCTTTTGATCATAAACAAGCTTCTGTCCAAATTTGGTACAAATCCAGGATAGTTTAAGAAAGTTATTAAAATTCTAAAAACTTTAACCACAGAGTGAATGTATTGTTTCCTGGCAGAAAAACTAAGTCCATTTATCAGTAAAATACGGAAAAAATGAAATTTTTTATTTAACAAATTTACTTCTGGATACTATCTTATGATCATAAACAAGCTTCTGTCCAAGTTTGGTACAAATCAAGGATAGTTTAAGAAAGTTATTAAAATTTCAAAAACTTTAACCACAGAGTGAATGTATTGTTTCCTGGCAGAAAAACTAAGTCCATTTATAAGTAAAATACGGAAAAAATGAAATTTTTTTTTTAACAAATTTACTTCTGGATACTATCTTATGATCATAAACAAGCTTCTGTCCAAGTTTGGTACAAATCCAGGATAGTTTAAGAAAGTTATTAAAATTTTAAAAACTTTAACCACAGAGTGAATGTAATGTTTCCTGGCAGAAAAACTAAGTCCATTTACAAGTAAAATAAGGCAAAACAGGAATTTTATTTTTACAAAATTTACTTCTGGATACTATCTTATGATCATAAACAAGCTTCTGTCCAAGTTTGGTAGAAATCCAGGATAGTTTAAGAAAGTTATTAAAATTTCAAAAACTTTAACCACAGAGTGAATATTTGTGGACGCCGCCGCCGACGACGACGACGACGACGACGCCGACGGAATGTAGGATCGCTATGTCTCGCTTTTTCGACTAAAGTCATGGGCTCGACAAAAATGAAAGATCCTTTTTGAGCATGCTCACATACTCCATGCCCCCACATTGTCACTGAGAAAACAAATTCTTACCAGATTCTTCAGTTCAAAGACTCATAACTACCAGAAAAGTCAACTGATAAAAATTTCTTGTGGATATGCAAATCCATATTATGTTCTCATTACCTACAAAGTTTCATCAAATTATGTTGTGTGGTTTTAGAGGAGTTCGGCTTACAAACTGTTGCAGTAGTATAATGGTTAAAATTCTAAATTCACAGGGGCCGAATTTTTTCTGTTGATATGCTCATCTTCATAGCATGCCTTTATTAACTACAAAATAATAAACTACTAAAAAAAAAAAGGTTTCAGAGGAGTTGCACTGACAAACTGTTGCAGTAATACATCATGGCCAAAATTCTAAGTTCAAAGGGGCATAACTCCTAGAGAAAACATTGAATCATAATTTCATGTTGATATGCACATCTACATAGTATGTCTTGTTTATCTACAAAATTTCAGGAACTTCTGTTATGTTGTTTTAGAGGAGTTGTGATGACGAGCTGTTACAGTAGTTTATTTAGACAAAAAATTCATACTCAATTTTATAGGGGCATTACTCCTAGGAAAAAAATTGAATTGTAATTTGCTGTCGATATGCCCCTCAAAATAGTATGTCCTTATTATCTACAAAGTTTCATGAAATTCTGTAGTGTGACTTCAGAGAAGTTGGGATGACAAACTTTTGCAGTAGTATATTTAGGCTGAAATTCTATGTTCAAAGGGGCATAACTCCTAGAAACAAGAACAATACCAAGTCTGGACCTGCGTCACTGCATGTAAATGATTGAAGTAATATCTAAACTGGAGCATAACTGATCAATCCCTTTCACTGATGCAAAAAAAACTTTTGACGAAGATTTTCCTTGTACAACCTGTGTTTTAAAATTTCAAACTATCAGCTAACAGGAAGTGGCTACCTGGCAGATGTAAAAATTGCTTATTCACTACAAATGAACATTAACCCGCTGCAGATCAAATATTAAATTATTCCCTTTAATAGGAGCAAGGTAAACTTTGACGAAAATTTTCCTTGTACAATGAGTGTTATAAAATTTCAAACTATAGGCAAACAGGAAGTGGATACATGGCAGATGTACAAATTGCACCATTGCTTATAATTCAACATTATAAAGCTACAGACCAAATATTAAATCTTTCCCTTTCATTGAAGCCAAGAAAAATTTCAGACGGACGGAAATAGTCGAGCAGTTACTAGACCTGCTTCCACCTTGGGCTACACAAGTAGAAAAATTTTAAACATAATTTCGTGTCCATATGCACATCTACATAGAATGTCCTTATTATCGACAAAGTTTCATGAAATTCTGTTGTATGGTTTAAGAGGAGATGCGATGCTAAGAACAGGACTTATAGGTCAAAAACATTATACCCTACGCCACAAAGTTGCTTGGCGAATATAAATACAGAAACATTAGGTCTGTTTTTCAGTAAATAATCATGATAGGTCAATCAAAATATTCATTATGTTGATTCATTGCAAGGGGTATTTAATAATCAGATACATTAATATATTGCCTTGACACCATTTACATATATCAAATTGTACTATTCACAGTGTCAAAATGTAGATAGCACAAGAGCAAATGGAAAAAACTTATAGTGATTAGAGACTAAAGGGAGATAAATTCCACAAAAAATATCAAACTTATATGGCTGCATAAATGATCATAACCAAACATCTTACACTTTTCCTTCTAAAGATCTCTGAGATGTGATCACAAGAGCAAATGGAAGGATTGGACAGAAGCTTTGTATTTCTATGCTTCTCTACAATACTGTGTGGAAAATAACTGACCATATCTAGAATTCAGCTCTGAATAATAATCTCATGCTTTTACAAAGTCGGTATTGAGAACAAGTTAAAAGTAAAAAAAACAAAACTCTTAAAATAAATTATTTTATTCAATAAACAATAAAATATGAACAATATTAAAACTCTGATATTGATGAACATATGAATAAAACCCTCAACCCTAATAATGAAATTTTCTATGTTTTTCAGAAAATATATATATATCTATTCTACTTTTTGTAGATTTGTCATGGACAATAATAACACCTACAACCTAATCCTTAAAACTCCACTGCCATCACTGCACTTTTATAACTTTCATCAAAAATTTTACCAGGCATTTTGATGATTAATGTTATCCCATATTATTAGGATCATCTGTGCAGCTGGTTTAATATCCCAATAAGATTACATTATTTCATATTATTAAAAAAAAAAGTTAAATTTAACAGTATATCTAAATCTATGTTGATACATTATATTAATTTAACATTATTCTAAAATCAGCTTAATTTCACCGTAATTTAAATCAACATTTGATTTTTCTTCTGATAATAATTTTTCTACAAACATAATCAATATAATGTACTGTCGTTTGTAAAATAAAAAGATGCCCTGCACAATTACAGATCATTTTTCCAATTGTTTAACATTAAACTGAATGACAAATTAAAAAGTAGAAATATATTGTTACTCTGCTTGCTTTGTCATTGGCAATATATTAAAATCAAAGTGCTTGTGAGCACTGAAGGGTAAAGATTGCTTTTATTTTGCAATTTTGTGAATTTAAAATAAAACTTAGAAAGGCAAATGATAAATTTGAGCTGGGGTTATCTTCCTTTGTTCTTAGCTGTACATTTGTAGTTGAGTCTATTTTTATAACAGATTCATACACCATGAATTACTTGTGTAATTTTCAAGAAAGAAAAGTTTTCTTGACAAGTATGGTAATTCAAATACACATCATATCGTAACTTAAATATCTATTTATAACATATCCTTAATGAATTGCATGTATTTGACTGAATAGGATCTAAAGAATAATTGCTTCACTGCACTATTTTGTTAGTGATAAACCTTGGAAGATTAAGATATGTTTTGATTGCATTTCATGCAATCTTTACCCAAAAAATTGCTTAGCAACAGCTACATTTCTCAATATGTTCATCTCATAAAGAGTTCTTGCAAAATATTTTAAAGTTTATATTTTTTTAATAAATATTCATACAGTTTTAACTTCCAATTCTGCACCATAAATTTCGTGTGAAAATATTGACATTTTCCTGCCCAAAAAGTTGACTTTTTCAACTGATTTTATATAAAAGACTACACACAGGACAATCTTTACAATTCTATAATTTTGATATTCTATACATTCTCTACTGAAGAATGCATTATCTATGAAAATGTAGTTGATCTGAATTTTAGCATCAGACATATTTAAAATGATCTGTCTAATAAACTAACTTTACATTAAAGCTATTCCTGAAATCGATCATATGTAAAAATTCTTTTCCCCTGGTAAATACCATTTCATATGGACGCAATTGAAATTGTGAGGACAATGATAAAGCTCAGAGTATGACAATGCAATGTTTGATGATTAAAATCTATTTATATCCAACAGAATGAAACTGAAACATGTAATAAATATCACACATTTATGTTTTTAAACATTTTATAATTAACGTTTGAAAAATTATATTCTATTTTTATAAAAAATTTTGGCAGTAACCTCTAGCACCTTTTAGTACTTGAAAAAAAATATCCTGGGTAATACACATCAATTTAAAAAAAAAATTTTTTTAATACTACACTTTTGTTTTTTAGGTGTCTTACATGTAGTTAAAAGCTTTTCTCAATAAAGATATATTCATAGTAAACAATCTGCTTTGACAAGCAGCAGTATCATAGAACTTTCAAAATTTGGGAGAATGAAAATCAATTTGGAATATAATGACACTGGACTATCATGGTTATATTCATTTTTTTGTGCAGACCTGTTATATGACTAACAAATCATAAAATCACAAGTTATCTGATGTTTAAAGCTACTTATTCCCCTATAAAGTCTACAATAAATTCTAATATTTCAATTATTAACAAGAACACAAATTTGATAGATTAACTATAAGAGATGAAGATCCTGTATAAAAAGGACTAGATTTGATTTTTTTGATACATGTAATATGAACAATATTGACATACAAACAAGACAAAATGCTAGAAAAAAAAAGATACAAAATAATAGAGGTGGGTAATCACTAGTTTGAGCAAACATATAATTTTTGTGTCACCATTTTAAGGCATGCTATGGTTTTTAAATAATGAATGACACACAAGAAAAAAATAAAGATTGTCTCACACTGGAAGACATAGTAATTCATGACACAGCTCTACACTTGTAATTCTATGAAAGTATAAAGCACACTTGTTTAAACAAGAACTTGTCTACAGCAGGAAGGACGTCATGTTAGCTTGACTGGAACAATAATCACCCAAAATTTGGTTAATTCTGCAGTGAATGTCCATAATATATTTATCATTGTTATTCGGCATAGAATAAAAACAACTTTCGTTGGTGTGATGCCAACGTTAACTATATGCAAGAATACTCAAAAATTGACAAATACAAACATTTGCAACCATCAGTTGCATATTGAATTAAAGCCATTTTTTAATGCTGTTTTAAATAATTCATTGAATCTGTTAAAATTAACATTATTTAATCACATATTTAATATACATTACAAACTTAAATAAATTAAAGACAATTATAACAGTTAAGTATTTGGTATATAACATTTAAGAATTAAGTACATGGACAATACAAACTTGTTATTTTCTATAAACATACTAGAAAAATATTTCTGATGAATTTTAACTAAAATTAATGATGAAAAGATTTTACATTCTTAAGGCAATTTGAATTGGCCTTGAAATACTGTATAGGTTGTATTCAATAACATATTACTTAAGGGAGCATTAGCTGTCATTTAGACAAAAAAATAAAATAAGATTTTTTTTGTTACAAACAGTTATAAAAGTGGAATAATGAAATAATATTTCGTTATTAGCAGTCAGTTTTGTTCAATTTGGACAAACAAAGACCAAGAACATGCATGCCATAAGCGTGTTCGGTTATTAAAAGAAAAGAATGTCAACATTGAAGTTAAACAAGGGTGCCACCATAAAAAAAAAACCCATTTCTTTGACAGATTCAGTCCACAAGAAATCATTCATATACGGGTTAAATCATGATTCAAATCTATGACCTTAAATCAAACAGACCTGGAAAAATTGCAATAACACAACTCCTCTTGCTTCTCAGTTTATTTATATTTATGTTTATATCGGGTCGAATGACTATCAGCAGTCTTCGGAGGTAATCTTGATGGTTAATTAGATGGCATCTGGTCTAAATTACGCACAAAATGCTGATTCATTATATCAAATCCATGTATTGTTAATTGTTTTGTTTGTTTTTTTTACTTTTTGTAATTTTGATTTAAGTTTTAGTATGTTATATATCAAATATGAGAATTTAAGTCAATCGGTGATCATGAATTTGATAGCTAATGCCCCTTTAATGATTATGCTAACTTATGTCAAATGATTTCCTCTGAAATACAGAAACTTGAAGCTGCCCTAGTGACAGAGATATGTAAATAAAGGTCTAAAAACAAACTGACATTACAATCACCTTAAAGTATCTACAGTACTTTACCCTTTTGGAATTTAAAATAAAAAAAATTCTACAAGAGATAAACTAATTTTTTTAAGTTTTTCAATTCATAGTATCATATATGATCCCTTCAAATCAATGAATACACAAACAATCACCAGTTTTCAATCAGCTGCTGCAAGACTGATTGTTTATCTTTCAATCTGCACAATAATAACATGGTCTACTTTCCAGTTTGAACATCAATAGACAAACTTTTTTCAAAATAATTTTCTATCTTACAAATATATATCACAGGAAAGTATACAATAATGGTTTTATAAATATTTTTGACAAAATATAATTGGGCTTCTTGGTATCAATAATCTAATACTATTTATTTTAATTTTAACACAAATTGCATGAGTCACATATATAAAAGAAAATAAATAAGAAAAACAGCTTAAAGCTAAGGTCATAAAAGGTTTTTAAAAGCAGCTGGACCTTCTAGTAAGGAAACTTAATGGAATGTATATAATTAAAAAACAAACAAAAAACATAAAAAATTTGTGTCGTTGTAAACCTGTCTCTATAGGAAAATTCTAATAACTTGTGTCTATGTAAGTAGGTATAAAATGTATCATAAAATATATATTTACTAGGATTCACCGTTTCTGTTGGAATCACCTAAAGTGAGTGGACGATGGTGGATATTGACAATCATTCCAAATCTCTTGAACGATATCTTATAATTACCAAGCATATAAAGAGAAAGGGGAAGCAATCTTGGATTTGTTGATGTTCTTTAAGTCGTCATGATATGTTTTTTAAATTTTCAAACACTAAAATAATATGATTGTCTCTTTTTCATTTCCTTTGTGTGTGTGTGTGTGTAACGAGGGGGGTTTAGCACTTTGTCAAAATATTTCTTTTTTTATTCTTAAAGAATAAAAAGTTTTAACAAAATCTGTTACCCTAATAACTGTAACCTGTAAACTTGCAGCCATTTCATTAAGACAGTCCAAAAGATGTCAGATTTAGTACCATGCATTCTTTCTACAGCATACAATTTTAAATCGGACTTCCTTCTTATAAAGCTTTACTTTGGTATATAATTTTTGTAGAATTAGTCTTGATTAAAATCTTTTAAAATACTAGAGTTCTGTCATAAATAACAATCTAATATTTGTTTTCATCATGTTCTCTTACTAAGCTGAAACTTCCATTTCTGGGTCATGGATCTTGTATTACAAGGATTAAGTACAAGTCCTTTTGTCTGAACTTCTTGACTGTCTAAACATAACTTGGTCTCTATGTGTTCTAACATGGTATCATCATGGCTCCTCTTCCAGTACTGAAATAAGAAAAAACATATTTGTAAAATAATCTTAATTTGTAAATGGAAACATATTCTGAGAATTCATTTTCTTTATTTATCTGTAAGCAAAGTTAAGTTTAAACAGTTGTAAAATCTCTTCTGTACATGTTAAAACTGTAAGAGAGCACTGTAATTTATCATCATCACGAATGCTTACCAAAATATTGGCACAAACTTCACACTACCACTTATATAGGTTTAAAGAAAAGGTAAAGTTTTACAATATATGGTACAGTTTCCTTAAGGAGTCATATTTGGCTCCTTAAATTTTGAAGGTGACTCTGAAGCAATTTGTATCTTGCCAAAAAATGGGAATGTATTCTTATACTTTATAATTATCAGCCAGTACAATGATAATGTTTGAAACAATTCAAATAGGAGGAAGCAAACCTGAATAGTTCTGCCTTCTTGGCACTGGAATAACTTTATTGGTGTACCAGGGTCTGTTCCAACTACTGTCACACATAAATCTAAATGACGAATCTGACCATCTTTACTCATAGAAAATTCCTATAAAATATCAAATTTTATAATGCCGATCACTTTAGTTAATACGATAATAATACATTAAAAGGATAAAAGGAATAACCCAAAATACTGGACAGAACAATTGACCACACCAACCTCAAACAGATCTGTGCAAGTTGTGAATTCTGCTTGCTGTTTAAGGTAATACACATTTTGTTGTTGCAGGCAGGGGCTATGAACAGTCCTTCTTACATTGAAACCACTCTCATGCCTAAAAGTTCATGGATTTTAGTGGTACAGGTAAACCACATGTTCAAATGTTCAACTTTTCTATACACTTGTATTGACATTTCGGCAAAACCACAAAATAAAATATCCATGAAAATGCTATTTTTTTCTTAGTCCGCAAAAACTTGTGTCAAAAAATAAATGAATCCATGGTACTTGTCAAAGGTTTAAAGGTTTATGTCAACATTATCTCTGACAGGTTTGTAAATCAGCACTTATCAATTAATTAAAAAGGATGTATGCCCTTTGGGAATGTAAGTAATTGAATAAAATTCCAGTATATCAACAGGGACAGTGGATACAATCTTGTGGTTACTACAGTCTTTAATAACTTACTAGATTTTATGTGATTTTGGAACTTAAATTTTGTTTACCACTACTTACTTGATTACCCCCAGCAAAGTGACATGGGAAAATACCCAGAGTTCCATCTGCAAAATGGCCAAGTGTATCTACACACATTTTATCCTGACTGATACTTCCAAAGGCTAAATCTCCTCCACCTGGCACTCTGTAATAGTAATGTTGTATTTTAACCTTTTCCATGTTTAATAAAACACAGGTCTATGACTTATTTTAACACAGAATTATTTTTCTAGATCTGAGAATAACAAAATCACAATTTCTTTTTTGGAAAAAATCACTCCTTTTAAAATAGCTATCGTTCAATGCATATATATTATTGATCAATCATATAAAATCTTTAAAATACAAAATATAGAATTCAAATTTCAAAATACATACAAAAATACATTATTACAGCACATTAAGTTGATATCTGAACTATCTAATATCTGAATATATTTACAATAAATATTTTCTAATGTCTACAACAATAAATATCTGGAATGAGGACTTTACTATCATAAGGTTAGACACTAATACAACAATACACAATAAAATAATTATTTTCAATACCTGAATGTGTTAAACTCACTAAGATTCAAAACAGAAATTTTTTTTATATAAAATTAAGATGATGTGGTATGATTGCCAATGAAACAACTCTCCACCACAGACCAAATGACATAGTAGGTTAGACACTATAGGTCACCATACGACCTTCAACAATGAGCAAAACCCAATTCATCTTAAAACTTTTCATTTTAAACATAGAAATTAAACTTTGTTAAGATGTTAAAATTATATTTATATCATTAATATATCTTTCTTTGTAATGTAAATCTTTGACAAAAGTTGTTAACTAGCAAATTATATTCATTAAAAAAAAACATTTTAACCAGCACCATTGCAACTGCAAGCATATAAGTTTTGACTTACTTGAGTTCAGGATAAACATTTTCTAAATACCATTTAAAAGGTTTGCATTGTAATCTTTCCTTTAACTCTATTCTTTCTGATATACTGAAATATAATCATATAATACTGTATTTGTTAGTTTGTTTTGTACACCTTTTATCTTACATAATGTCAATACAAAGACTTAAAAATAAGTTGATGTTAGCAGCAAATTCAAGTATGAAAAAAGAAGGTGTGGAGTAAACTTCTATGAGACATCTAATTACCAATATATAAGTAAATATACAATACCTTAATTACTAAAATGTATAAGTAAATATACAATACCTTAATTACTAAAATATATGCCACATAGTTTAAGATCTACACCTGTGCGTAGGAACTAATTTGTTTTAAATATGTACTACTGTCCAGTATGTTCTTTTTTTACCGGGCCTGATTAGGTGGTGTAACATCTTACAAAGTCTATCCAAATTATTTTTGCAAAAAATTCCGCTCAAGCCGGTGCTAGGGGGGCCGTCTTAAACTTGCAGTGAGGTGAGAGTTTTTTTTGCTCTGTGTTGAAGGCCTCACTGTGACTTTAAGATGCAGAACAGCAATAAAACCGCTGTTCCTTTGCTTTTTGTGTGTGTGTTTTTGCTGTGCATGTACTGATTTTTTGTCATGGATGGATACCCCATATCCTTTGTTTTTCTATTAGAAATGTCTTAACCAAATGTCAAGTTTTAACTTCCCTAGTCTAAATGAGTGGTCTGTTTAAGTAATCAAAAAGTGAAATTTTTGTACTGTTACAACCTATATATCAAGTTATAATGTACAGAATGTACAGAATAGCTAATTTTAATAGTACTAGTAAATTTTGACCTGGTTAAATTTACAAAATTTTATATGAATGGAACCATAAAAGTCAAACAATTGAGAGGTTTGACACCTAAGAGCTTAATTTAATCCAACAATTTCCTGACGGAAGTGCCTGTTACAAGTCAGCAATATGAGTTAATTTTCATTTCTTACTGATAAAATTTACAATAACATGCTTTGCATTTTTTTATTATACTGCTTGTAAAAGTGAGGTGAGAGAAAAAAATTTGCCAAAGAACTGTATTATAATATGCAGGACTCTGAACCACGATGGTATTAAAAGTGAGGTGAGAGAAAAAAATTTGCCAAAGAACTGTATTATAATATGCAGGACTCTGAACCACGATGGTATTACGAACCACAATTGTCATGTAGAAGTGACCTGAAGTGTGATGGCGACATTATGACTCTTAACTTGTTGATAACTACGCTGAGGTGCGTTGGTGGTTATGCTGAAGTGCGATGGTCTAAGTGTGACGTTGACATTGATTGTTACGATGAAGTGCGATGGTGTACACTATAGCTAAAATGCAATGGTCTGAAGTAAGAACCACATCTAATGTGGTGGTTAGTGTGCTAGCCTTGCATTTGGAAGGTCAATTTCGATTTCTGGTCAGGTGATACCAAAGACTTTAAAACTTAAGTTATCTAATTCTCCGCATAGTATACAGCAGTCTGGAGCCAGAAAATAGAATGGATGGCTCAGATTAAGTATAATGGATTTTAGTGGTAGGACATATCATAATATGGAGTGTTCAATGGCTAATTAAAAAAAATTAAGAGTGGTTGGTCTATAGTACTAAGCAGGGTCAATCTCACAAGAAAAAAAAAATAACCTAGTACATTATGCTTGACTTATGTCGAGACGTGTCAAGAGTTCCTCCAAAAACTTTAAAATTGGCTGCTTCTACGCAGAGTAGGAGAAATTGGGAAGTACACGTAGGGACCAGTCGGGTTTATTTTGGCCTAACTTGTGGTAGAAGATTAACACTGTAACCATAATAAAATTAGGTTAGAGTGCTGGTTTTCTTACAAAGAAGGATTTATTTCAGGAATAAAACAAAATTATATCAACTTGATATAACAAAAGCATTGTTACTAATAAATTTTATTATTTAATTGTCCACATCAAATCATGTGAAGCATACTTGAAGAGAAGTCAAATTTAATAGAAATATACGAACACTGGTCAGCCAATCTGCAGACCAAGTTCACCTTTCAGCCGCTTTGCTCCCAACTATTTGCTGCCTGACTTTGTTTTACATATTTTTGTAAGATCCACCTGCACTGCTCAAAACTGTTCGGGACTAGAATCGTTCGTTACTTTCTTTTTCCTTTCCTTTGTTAGCATTAAACCTTCAATTACAAAATCTTATCCTGCTGCCTTCGAATTCCTGTTGTATTTAAAGTAACGTTGTATTTGATGTCACAATATTCAAGTGTCATGCCAAACCATTGCACTTCAGCGAATAGGACCACCGTAACTTGGTGCGGACCATCACACTTTAGCGTGACCATCGCACTTCAGTATCCCCATCGCACCTCTGAGTCCTACATAGTAAATTTAATATATTTTTGAATTTTATTCCCATTTTTTCCTTTCTAAACATTTTTTTTGGTTCTTTCTGACAAGCTTGTAAAAGTATCTTGCACTGCAAATCTTTTCACAAACATGTATTGAAGCTTTTTTAGTTTACTTACTCTCCAAATGGCACCATTTTAGCAGAAGGCACAGCAGCAAAATAAAATTCTTTATAATCATCCATCCATACTTCAGCAGCTCTTCTTGTATTTCTGTAAAATATGACAAAATATATAACATCTATGACAGAAAACAGAGTATCCATTAGAAAACTCAAAACATTGCAATAATATTCCATTAGTAGTATACTGTAAATCAACTAATTTTCGCAAGCGATTTATTTTCACCAATTTTCACAAGTAGAAAAATAACACGAATATATAAAACTTGGATTTTCCTTATTTATCTACATCAAGTAAATTTGAGAATTGCAAAATTAAATCGCCGCGAAATGAACTAGAAAGGGCTAAAGGCGAAATAAAGTATCTGCGAAAATAAGTTGGTTTACAGTTAATAATTTAGCACATACATGTCCAATGACAGAGTAGATACAATTTTGTGTAAAACTGCCAATAATGTTAGGAGTGCAAATTCCTACTATAATTTATTATCTAAAAGACTTCAATTTTGTTTTAAATTGTTTAAATGACTGACACTGGTAAATCTATGCATGAGACCAAAACGTAAGGACATAAATATTTAGGTTGATTATCATTAATGAATTTCTCTAAATTTCAGACTGTTAATATTTTCCTTGAATGTTCATTATTTTTTTACATAATCAAAATGTTGTTCACTAGATCTCAGTTTGGTCAAAATTAAATTTAGGGCATGAAATTTTCTTGCTTTCCATATATTTAGCTATTGTGACATCACGAATAAAAAGCTGCGCCATGAGCACATGACACGCCCGTCGCTTTTTCAAAGTTCCACAACTCCTCAATGGGAGGTTATTTTAATAGATATAAACCAGTCATCAAAGTTTCATGAAAACTTCTGAAAGCACTTTTGAGTTATTGTCCAAAAAACTGGAAAATCCCCCCTTTTTTATGAAAAAAATCCCACAACTCTGAAACATAAAATCTAAAATTTATAAATAAATAGGGAGCTCACGTCAATAGATATAAACAATTCACCAAAATTTCATGCAAATTGGTTAAAGCGTTTTTGAGTTATTGTCTGACATGTTGACGATGGGCAGACAGAGGGATAGACGGATGGATGGACAACGGTATACCATAATACGTCCCGTAAACTGGCGTATAAAAAGGAGACCATGCCTGATGATGTCACATAGAAATAACATCATCTTTGTGCAGATAATTGAAAAGGAAAGATGAAGTTTGCCTACATATTGTATAAAGATCATTAGAGAAAGTTTTCACCACCTTATCTTGCACTAAGCTAACCTCGCCTCTTTAAATTTGAAAATTAAACTGTCTAAAATGGAGAAATTTTGTATTCGACTATATTAAGTGAAAGACTCTCTCTCTCTATCCATATAATGTATAAACCTTCTTTTTTACATGGAAATGTTATCTTGTAACATACACTCAATTAGATGAATACATTGCAAATAGAGTATTCTGAATAAAGCTGCATTTGAAAAGAATATAGAATTCTAATTATTGTTTCAATTGTAATTGTAATAGCAATAATCATAAATTAATTATGAATAAACTAAAGAATAAGTTTTCTTAAATCAAAGTAAAAATATGAAAATTTTGACATTTAAAATAAAATGCTCCGCTGGGGCGCAGCTTGATACGACCGCAGAGGTCGAACCCTGAACAGTTGGGGCAAGTATGGACACAACATTCAAGCTTGATACAGCACTGAATTTGGATTGTAATTAAATATTTGACACAGCATAGGTTTCTCACACAGAATGAAAGTAGTCTAAGAACTTAAAATTTTTTAATTTACCTATTCAAACCATATCATTATTATTTGCTTTTATATATAAATCAGAAATAACCAATTTAAAATGGAAAATTTTAAAGAAAAAAAATGAAAAAAAAATCCCCCCCCCCAAATTTTTTGAAACCCCCTTATGATTCATCACCCCCAAACTCAATCCCAGCCTTCCCTTTGTGGTATGGTACCTTGCAGTACAATTTCAGAGAGATCCATACACTTGAACACAAATTATTGTCTGGAAACTAGAAAAATGATTGGGTTTTTTGCACCTTTTTGGCCCCAAATTCCTAAAAGTTTAGGGCAATTACCCCCAAACTCAAACCAAGCTTTCCCTTTGTGATATGGAACCTTGCAGTACAATGTCATAAAGATCCATACACTTACACACAAGTTATTGTCATGAAACTAGAAAAATGCTTGTTTTTTTGCCCCTTTATGGCCCCTAATTCCTAACATTTTGAGACAATTACCCCCAAAAACAATCCCAGCCTTCCCTTTGTGGTATGGTACCTTGCAGTACAATTTCAGAGAGATCCATACACTTGAACACAAGTTATTGTCTGGAAACTAGAAAAATGCTTATTTTTGGCCCCTTATTCCTAAACGTTTTGGGCAAGTACCCCCAAACTCAATTCCAGCTTTCCCTTTGTGATATGGAACCTTGTAGTACAATTTCATAAATATCCATACACTTACACACAAGTTATTGTCATGAAACTAGAAAAATGCTTGTTTTTTGCCCCCTAATTCCTAAAATTTGGAGGCAATTACCCCCAAAATCAATCCCAGCATTCAAACCCTCAATCAGCATCATTTAACAGTAATATCTAAAAATGGAAATTACATAATAAAGGTATTAAAATAGAAAATGACATCATAGTCATGGCTAAAAATAAACAAAATCCTTAATCAGCAACATTTTACAGTAATATCTAAAAATAAAATTCCTTTGTAACCATAAAAGCCCATTTAAATACATCATGACAGATATTAAAATAGAAAATGACATCATAGTCATGGCTAAACATAGCAAAAACCTTAATCAGCATCATTTAACAGTAATATCTAAAAATAAAAATTTCTTTGCAACCATAAAAGTAAAATAGAAAATGACATCATAATCATAGCTAAAAATAAACAAAAATTTTTTTTATTACCAAATTTTAAATGGAGTTTATTAAACTAAAACAATAAATTTGCAACCATAAAACCCCATTTAAACACATCATAAAAGTATTAAATAATTCAACTACATCATAAGGCTATAAAAATAGAAAATGACTTCATAGTCAAGGCTAAAGGTAAACAAAAAACCTTCATCAGCAAAATTTTATATTGGCAAATTTCCAATGAAGTTTATTATACTAAAATTGTTGGCAAATTTCCAATGCATTTATTAACAATAAAGTTATTGGCAAATTTCCAATTTACATAATTTAAAAGCAGTGTAAGTGAGATATTTAAATGAGTTTGAATTACCAACCTTACACTGCTTTTAAATAATGTTTTGTACTTATTTGTCTATTAACCTGGAAACCCTTGTTTTTTCACCTTTTTTTCCCTTATTATTTAAAGGTTTGAGCCATAACCCTACCCCAAAGCCAATTCTTAAATTCCAATGTAACCTAAATTTACAATATACATAACTTCAATTTAAGTTTTTGATAAAATCAAACCACATCATTATTATTTGCTTTTATATCTAAATCAGAAATAATTAACCAACTTTAAGTGGAAAATTTTCACACATCACGCCCCCCCCAAACTCAATCCCAGCCTTCAGTTTGTGGTATGGTACCTTGCAGTACAATTTCACAGAGATCCAATTACTTAAACACAATTAATTGTTGGAAACTAAAAAAAAATGCTTATTTTTAACACCTTTTTTAGCCCCTTATTCCTAAACATTTGAGCAATTATCCCCCAAACTCAATTCCAACTTTCTCTTTGTGATCAGAATTAACCAACTTAAAATGGAAAATTTTAAAGAAAAAAAAAAGGAAAAAAAATCCCCCCCCCCCCCAAAATTTTTTGACCCACTTCCCTTTGTGGTATGGTACCTTTAAGTACAATTTCAGAGAAATCCATACACTTGAACACAAGTTAATGTCTGGAAACTAAAAAAATGCTTATTTTGCCCCCTTTTTTGGCCACTTATTAATAAATGTTTTGGGCAAACATTTCACAATAATATTTAAAACTGAAATTAATTTGTAACCTTAAAATTAAATAGAAAATGACATCATAGTCATAGCTAAAAATAAACAAACTATTGGTAAATTTCCAATATAAAATTGGCAAATTTCCAATGAAGTTTATTATACTAAAATAATTGGCAAATTTCCAATTTACATAATTCAAACGTAGTGCAGGTGAGATATTTAAATGAGTTTGAATTACCAACCTTACACTGCTTTTAAATAATGTTCTTTACTCAATTATTTGTCTATTAAAATGGAAACCCTAGTTTTTTAACCTTTTTTCCCCTTATTCCTTAAACGAAAAAAAATAATTACCCCTTTTTTTACCCCCCCCCCCCCTATGATTCATCACCCCCCCCTTCCCCCCCAAACCAAGCTCAATAACAGCCTTGCCTTTGTGGTATGGTACCTTGTAATACAATTTTAGAGAGATCCATACACTTGAACACAAGTTATTGTCTAGAAACTAAAAAATGCTTATTTTTCACCCCTTTTTAGGCCCCTTATTACTAAACGTTTTGGGCAATTACCACAAAACTCAATTCCAGCTTTCCCTTTGCGAAATGGAACCTTGTAGTAAAATTTCAGAAAGATCCATACACTTACACACAAGTTATTGTCATGAAACTAGAAAAATGCTTGTTTTTTGCCCCCTTTTGGCCCCTTATTCCTAAAATTTCGAGGAAATTAACCCCAAAATCAATCCCATCATCGACCCTTTGTGATATGGAATCTTGTAGTACAATGTCAAAGAGATCCATACAATAACACACAAGTTATGTCTGGAAGTTACAAAAATGCTTATTTTCGGCCCCTTTTTGGCCCCTAATTATTTAACTGTTGGTACCATAACCCCCAAAATCAATCCCCACCTTCCTATTGTGGTATTGAACCTTATGGTAAAATTTCATAGAGATCCATTCACTTAAACTAAAGTTAGAGTGCGAAAACCATTGTGTATTCGGACGACGACGCCGGACGACGACGACGCCGGACGACGACGACGACGACGACGCCAACGTCATACCAATATACGACCACAAAATTTTTTTGCGGTCGTATAAAAAGCTAAGATAAGCAATATTCTGCATTAAATTTATGGCAAGATGTACATATCCCACAACAAAGCTTAAGAGCTATGGTCAATGTCTGTGATCACCAATATTTAAGGTTTGTGGAAAATCAGCTAGATTTTGGATTCCTCTTTATAAGCTTAAATTAGCCGAAAAGCTGAATAAGTTATGCTGGGTATTTAAAAATGCTGACAACCATAAAAGCAACAGAACTGATACCCATAAATAAAAACAAAATAAAACAAAGAAGTTGGCTGCTTTTTTTTTAAGATGTACAGATGGAGGGTAAATGATCAAAAATATAAATCTAAATAAAACAAAAATGAAAACACCAATCTTTTCCCATGTGGAATGTAGAAAATAAAGAATAAATAAAAATATAACCAGAATTTATCTCGACAAATTAAACCTTGCTGAAGTTACTAACCAAACTGAGCAAAGTCCAGTTTCCCCAACATCTAAAAAATACAATTTAGAAAATACTTAAACTTTGGTTAATGCTGCCTTCCTGCTAAATGGTGCTATAAGCCCTGTGTTTTCATTCAAAACTTAATGCATAATGGGGCCTGCTTGCATTAATTTAGGTTCCCGTCCCTTTAAAATTTTAACTTCCCTATTACTTTATATATGCCCCATCATTAAATCCCTATTACTCTATAATGTCCCATCCCTACTTAAACAGATAAAGATATTTTATCTTTAAATTTTGAACCATATTAGAACAACTATCTTCCACAAAACCCAATATTAAAAAATAGTGCAGTCCTACATCAACTTCACAGGTCAAAAGCCTGTCAAATCATTAAAACAATTACAGATGTGATGTCTAACAGATCACCATGCTTGATTTGACAATTACCTTTTGGTAAATATCCCTTTCAAGCCACTCTTGTCATGGTGATAACTCAGAAACTTGAAAAGGTCATTTATAATAGAACTATTTTCATTTCAGATACCATATAAATTCAATAAGAAAACATAGTATTTGCTTGCTAAATTAAGCTTTAACACCCACTACATATTATTCTTGTTTGGTTCTATCAACCCACAATATAACTTTTCTGTGACAACCCTTACTTTCTTATCCATAACAAATGCCTAAATTTGCCTTTGTTTATTCATTGCTTAAATTGATAACTGGCAGAAAACTTATCATCTAACTGTAAAAATCTGACTTCCTCCATTATCATTTTGTCAAAACTTGGTAATGAAAAAGATATACAAAAGTTAAAGATACAGGATACAAGTTAAATATTTAATATTGCACAGACATTTTTTATACAAAAATTACAAACCAAAAACTAACATTGCAATAGGGTGACATTCTTAGATGTGGCCATTGTTAAATTTATTCCATTTTATCTTGGTATGCATACTACAAATGTAGTATATATGTTGTATTTTATTCAATTTTGTTTTAAAAAAAAATCTCAATTGTTCCATTTTATCAAACTATATACTTCTCATGCAATTTAACTGACCTTGCAAACACATTACCACTTCCACCAGGGAATGTATATGGATGTTGTTTACGGAACACATGTCCCACTCGACTACAGGGTATTATCTCTAACTGTCCATGACACTGCCAAACTCTGAATGATATTTCTATAATAAAATAAATCTATCAAATCAAATTTCTGACAGCAATCAAAATAAGATAACCAAGATTCAATGGGTTTTTTAGAAATACATTTAACCTTTCTTTTTTCTATCAAACCATTTTAGAAGGGTAATCTATATACAATAGACAAAAGACAGATTATGTACCAAATATCTTTGTTGTTAAATAAACCAATCAAGATTTTCTCTGCATAACAAATGACAATTTTCTATTTATGAGTAGGAGCAAAATTTGGCATTTAGGTGTGGAATTTCTTTTTTTTTTTTTCAATAACATGAAATTCTAGCAAGTTTACAGATATTTACCTCCAGTGTATACATATCAAAAAATAAAAGAAGAATGTGTCCATGGGACACAGATGCCCATGCTTGTAGTCAGAAATTTTTCCATCTATAAAGGGTCATAACTCAAGACCCTGAAAGTGATGCTTCCCAAATTTGGACATAATCTGTGTTAGGTGGTGATAAGCATTGTGTGTAAGTTTCATAGAGTTAGAGTGCAGAAATAGCAAATTAAGCATCTATAAAGGGACATAACTCAAGAACAGTGAAAGTGACACCACCCAAATTTTTCCATTTTTAACCCAAGAACGGAAAATGTGACGCAATCCAAATTTCAAACTTGATCTGCGTAAAATGGAAATAAGTAATATGTATAACTTTCATAACATTTGGTTGAGGCACATGTACATACAGACAGATAAGGGTAAACCTTAATGTCCCTTTCCTCCACGATGGGGGGCAGAAAAAGATTTGTCTTCATCACAGTTTTTCACTCAAAAAAGTCACTTTGATGAGAAAAAAAAATCGCTTAATTAAATATGGATTTTAATTCATTTGCTTCAAATGTTTCCATGTTATTAAACTTCAAATTAAGTTTTTAAGTTATCAGTATTTAAGATTTGTTATGTGTGAATGTCACTCTTTTTTTATCATTTGGATTTGCTTCATCATACTCATGAAAGATAAACCCAGGACTGTCTTTGTATTATCACATGATTTTTTATTTCATGAAAGCAACATACTACATGATTGTATTGCATCTTGAATTTTTTTTTATTTAAAACTGTTTTTTTTTTAAGTATAAAAATCCTGTCATTATTATATTTATACCTAACAGTTGTAAGAATTTTTACCTAAATTTTCTCCTCCCCAGACGTCCATCTTCATATCATATTTCCCTAGTTCATTAAACCAACTTTTCTCAATGGTAAACAATCCACCAGCTATTATAGGTGTTCTGTTATGAAACAAAATAATCATGATTAAATATTATAAATGAATACAACCAACCTTCATTATCAGAAGACATAAAGATCAATTGGCTGTTCTTCCAATTAATTTACCTTTGAAAGCATGTTCAGCTAATGATTTAGGTTAATTTTGTTTGGGTTTGTTTGCTTTTAATATTCAAAAGTAAATGGAAAAAAAGATGTTGTTTAGTATTTATAGAACCTTGAGAAATTCTGAACTAAATATTTTTATCAGTTATGTGGATATGTTTTACTCTGGTTGACCCAATCATTTCAGAAGAGGGAATTATGAAACTATAGGCTCCCAAGAGCCTGTGTTGCTCACCTGATTCTACTTGGGTTTTGGAAATCATGTAAATATAGATTAAAATCATAACAGATACCCTAATAATGATTGAGGCCAAATTTGGTTTAATATTGGCCCCGTAATTTAATCAAAAGCAGAAGACTAAAGAAATTACCAATAAATTCATTGAAATGGTAGAAAATGACGTTATAAGGACAATAACTCCAATAAGATGTCAATTGAGAATTTTGCTCAAGTTGACTTATGTGTTGATCTTCTTTTCTTGATATTTTTGCAGTTTACAGTACATGTATATATCAATCTATAAAGATACATGTATTAAGGTCTTCATCAGCACCTCATAAGGAACATTTATGCCATGTTTGGTTTCAATCCATTCAGTGGTTCTCTAAAAGTAGACATTTGTATGTATTTCCAGTAGGGTCCTATGTTAAACTAAGTCCCTGCTGGCGGCAATCTTGGATGACTGATCGCCTACAAAGTTACAACACTTGGTCAGCACCTCATACGGAACATTCATGCCATGTTTTATTTCATTCCATTTAGTGGTTCTCTAAAAGAAGACATTTGTACGTATTTCCCATAGGGTCCCATGTTAAACGAAGTCACCTGCTGGCTGCCATCTTGGATGATGGATCGGCTTCAAAGTAACAACACTTAGTCAGTACCTCATAAGGAACATTCATGCCATGTTTGGTTTCATTCCATTCAGTGGTTCTCTAAAAGAAAAAATTTGTATGTATTTCCCATAGGGTCCTATGTTAAACTAAGTCCCTGCTGGCGATAATCTTGGATGATTGATTGCCTACAAAGTTTCAACACTTGGTCAGCACCTCATAAGGAACATTCATGCCATGTTTTATTTCATTCCATTTAGTGGTTCTCTAAAAGAAGACATTTGTATGTATTTCCCATAGGGTCCCATGTTAAACGAAGTCCCCTGCTGGCACCCATCTTGGATGATGGATCAGCTACAAAGTAACAAAACTTGGTCAGCACCTCATAAGGAACATTCATGCAATGTTTGGTTTCATTCCATTCAATGGTTCTCTCAAAGAAGACATTTGTATGTATTGTCCATAGGGTCCCATGTTAAACGAAGTCCCTCGCTGCTGGCCATCTTTGATGATGGATCAGCTACAAAGTAACAACACTTGGTCAGCACCTCATAAGGAACATTCATGCCATGTTTGGTTTCATTCCATTCAGTGGTTCTCTAGTTCAAAATGTAATAAACTGCTTCGCTGAGCGCAGCTGGATACGCCCGCAGAGGTCCAACCCTGAACAGTTGGGGCAAAAATTGACACAATATTCAAGCTTGATACAGGTCTGAATTTGGATTGTATTAAATTATTTGACATATTATAGGTTTCTGAATAAATGTAGTCAAAGAACTTGAAATTGGTTATATGAATTGAATTTATATTCAATTAAAGATTTCTTGCTGTTGCACAATACTTAGTAAATCTGTTGTCAGACTATAAAAAATTAAAGTTCAATTAATTCTCAATGTCATATTAGAAATTTATGAAAATATAAAGGGAGCTTACATCAATAGATATAAACAATTCACCAAAGTTTCATGAGAATTGCTGAAAGCATTTTTGAGTTATTGTCCAAAAACTGGAAAATCCCCCCTTTTTTAATGAATAAAACCCCATAACTCAGAAATGTAAAATGCAAAATTTAAAAAATTCTAAACGGAGCTTACATCAATAGATATATAAACAATTCACCAAAGTTTCATAAGAACTGCTGAAAGCATTTTTGGTTTTTTGTCCGAAAACTGGAAAATCCCCCTTTTTTTATGAATAAAACCCTGTAACTCAGAAACGTAAAATCTAAAATATATAAAAATCAAAAGGGAGTTCATGTCAATGGATATAAACAATTCACCACAATTTCTTGCAAGTTGGTGAAAGCATTCTGGAGTTATTGTCTGAAAACTGGAAAATCCCCCTTTTTTTAATGAATAAAACCCCATGACTCGGAAACGTAAAATCTAAAATTTATAAAAAACGAAAGGGGGCTCACGTCAATAGATATAAACAATTCACCAAAAATTTATGCAAATTGGTTAAAGCGTTTTTGAGTTAATGTCCGACATGTTGACGACGGACGGACAGACGGACAGAGGTATACCATAATACGTCCCGTAAACGGGCGTATAAAAAGTTAAAACCAACGATGACGACAGACTACGGACGCCAAGTGATGTGAAAAGCTCACTTGGCCCTTTGGGCCAGGTGAGCTAATAAAAAAGATGATTAAACCTAATGAGCCACTTACTTGATTGGAGCTATTGGATTATTCACCCTTTTATTTCTTTCTTCAGGCGTCATGTAATCCCATTTAAACACTAAATTCCAATCAAAACCTACAAGAGATAACAATCTGTACACTGTAAAAACTAGATATTCAACATATACATAAAAAAGTGGAAAAAAACAAATGTCTACCATAAGTGCATTATGACTCTCTATTACTGTATTCAGAAATTTTTGTCATGTTTTATTATTGCATAAAAATGAGACGTGAAAGGTTTCACAAAAATAACAAGTAAAACTGTGAGCTACTGCTCACTAATGATACCCCCGCGAAATATTTCGGTAAACAGGAAGTTGTTGAGTGATGACTCTGAAAACGCATCACACAGTATAGCTGACTTATATAAACCCTGAAACCAAATTTCAGAAATCCTTGTCAAGTAGTTCCTGAGAAAAATGTGATGAAAATATTCATTAACGGACGGATGGACTGACGGACTGACGGAAGGACAGACAGAGGTAAAACAGTATACCCCCTTTTTTAAAGCTGGGGTATAAAAACTTGCCTTTCAAATTTTGATAGCATTGTTTGTATGCAGCATGTTCTTAAAATTGTAGGCATTTTTGTCCCTTAGTCAACAATCAGAATAATAAATGCTCGCAAAATATTTCTAAACTTGCGGTATAAGATAATGATATACAAGTGAATATGCTATAAACACTTAGTAGCTCAACTTTAAATAAAGCCTGGTTGGTTATTTTACTACATTATGGATATATTCTGTGTATGCATATGTTAGCGGCAATAAGTGTAATTAGGCATTAAGCTTAAATACTAGGCAATAAGCTAATGCCTAGGCAGTAAGTCTATTACCTAAATAATATTAGGCATTACTCTTAAATCCTAGGATTTAAACTTAAATCCTGAAAATTATGTCCAGGCATTAATGTTAATGCCTAAAATGAAAATGAGAGTAAATAAAAAGAAATGTATTCAAAGTTAAAATACATTGTGTAAATAATAAAATAATAAAAACTGAAGTTTGAATGTCAATTACATAAAATAAAATATTGATGTTAAAACTCATTGAATAAACCTCTTAAAATACATGTAAACTTGTTGAATAGTTGTCTCATTGGCAATTGTACTACATCTCCTTATTTATTTTTATATTGATAGAAAATTGTATTGAAATTTATTTGTTATGGCACAGGCTACTTCATAGTTTTAATTTTTTCTATCATTTGTACCTGGCGATCGTTTAATACCTTTGTGTACTGCAGAATTATTTTGTATATGGACGAATTTGATTCCAATTAACCACTGTTAATTCGTTGTTCCTCATCCATGCAGTAAGCATGTCATGAATTTTCGGTTTGACCATTCAATATTGCGCTGTGATTGGAGATGTATTGGCTTCCCGTGAACAATAACTAGTTCTGGCTACATTATAATTAATTAGCATTAATTCATAAATAACATTAGCTCTCCATTCATGACCTTTGTCACTTTGATGTTTATGTGGCAAACTAAATATTGTGAAAACATTAACTAAATTAGAAGCCACCTTTGAAGCACTTTTTGACGTAAGAGCTCTAGAAATATAATTTTTGAATAGGTGATCTTGGTACACCATTAGAAAATATAGTTTCCATCTCACTTTGATAGGAAATCGATTAAATCAACCTGTCCTGCAAAATTCTTTGGATAAAATGGGTTTTACTACTACTCTCTTCCCTAGGCACATTTTATCATGTTACAATTTTCACAAAATGGAAGAAATAGTACAATGGAGTCATGGAAAATTTTTGCAAAGCCATTATAAGGTTGTTTAATTCTAGGGTCTACAATAATAATAGGCAGCTTTGACATATTACTTTATGTTTTTTTCCCTTAAATACCATACAGTTCCTCTAGAAATACATAAACTTTGAAATTTCCCTCATCATTCTCTTTTACTTTATTTACCAATCTTTCAAACCTCCAATGGTAAAAAAATGTCATACCATTTTGAATTGTAATAGTCTATAGTTGCCTTGTTTTCTGATTTTGAAAGTTTAATCTTTGCCAAATGATCATTGTACTTTTGCCTTGGGTATAATTATGATCTTTGTTTTCCCTGATTGAAATTTATGTTCCGCAAAGATATCGATTCAAGAAAATGTTTGTTTCTTAAACGAAATAATCCAAATTAAGAAATGAAAAGACAAGATGGGTATTAAGAAAAGGAAAGATGATGCGACTGGAAAAATTTCATATCTTCAGTTGTCTATTTTTGATCAGCTCAAACCAGCTCGTCCATTGAAGACCAATATCACAATAAAATATGGGATGCTTAATGTCCTCAGATCAGACAAGCCTATGACTGTGTAGTGGAAACTAAAACATGGAATATGGGAAAATTATATTAATTTTTGGAATATAATTTTTAAAATATTATTTATCAAGAATATTTCACCGAATTAACATGTATTTGGAAGATAAACAAAAATCCCAAAATTAACTTATTGCCTGAAATGATGTTTGGCAATAGGTTGAATAATCATCATCAGATTTCAGGAAATAAGCTTAATGCCTAGGTGTTAGCTTATTGCCTAGGATTTAAGCTTAATGCCTAATTTCACTTATTGCCGCTAACAAATAAATATGGTAAACCTATCAATGGGTCATCAGTAATGTTTAACCTAAGTATTAAATGAAAAATCAGAAAAAATAGAAGTACCATTAGCAAGCACACAAAACAATATCCCTTACTCCAATTAACCAAAATTAGCTATTTTCAAGATATTTAATAGGAATAATTTTGCCTCATGCACATCTTCGTAAGTTATACTACCTTTGCATGAAGTTTAATTGAAATTGTCCAACTGTTTAAGTGGAGTTAATCATGAGCTTACAATATAAGTTGTCAGACAGGGTGATTCTTATATACTTGAATAGTGGGGTGTATTTAAATCTTGACACTGACTAAAAATGTTCCTGTAATATACAAACCTCCCTTTAAATCAGCAGATGCACCAATGTAATCAAAGTTATCCATATTGATAACATCTATAATGGGACTTACAACTCGCTTCCTATCCTGAAATATAATTCAATACAATTACAATGTGTAAGGTACATCCAACTTGACTTCTATCCTGAAATATAATTCAATACTACATGTATAACAATGTGCTATGTAAAGAAATCAACTGGACTTTCAACACATTTTTTAATGGTAATTTTTTTCTGTGTAGTCCTCATTCTTTTTGATATAAATTTCACAATATCTGATGCTAGTTAATTATAAACAACTATATACTGAAGAACTGAAAAAATAACATACCCCAGCTACCCTGTCCAGCAAAGGTTCCAACCAATGGTCGTTACATTCACAGTGACTGTCTAGAAAGGTTAATACTGGACCTATAGCTGCATTTGCACCTTTGACCCTTGATCTTATCAAACCTTGTCTTTTCTCATTTCTAATTATCTTCACTTTCTTTATTAATGCAAGTTCTAACCCGTCAGTTGCTGCAATACATAAATTCAACATAAATAAATTCTCTTTCAAGTCAACATTGAAAAACAATATAAATGGGATCCATGCCAGTTTTTACTGTCTCCCTCTATATCAAAATGTATTTAATGTTAAATTGGAGGAGATTTTGATTTTTTTGATTTTTGGTGTTTTAACGCCACTTTTAAGCACCGCTTTTGGGCTATTTCGTGGCGGCCAGTTTTTATTGGTGGAGGAAGCCGGAGTCCCCGGAGAAAATCACCGACCTTCGATAGGAATAAATTGGAGGAGAGAATTAGAGACTGACAAGGTCCTATCACTTAAAGTATATTGCCATTTTTTTCATATCCTGAGGTGACCTATGAGACCTCACTAGCTATATGATAATCAACTGAAAAGGTAATGCAGTCCTGGCCAATGAATTTGTTAGTTTTATTCTAATCCTTGTTCAGGGTTATTTTCCCATGAGCAAGTTCTCTATTTTCCAAACAAATGGCATTCATACCTTTCCAATTAAACTACTGTAAATTCAGAAATTATTGCGTGCATTTATTATTGCGATTTTGTCATTTTAGACTAAAATGCGATTTTTATTTTTGCGATAGTGAAAAAAAAAATCTGTATTATTCTTATAAATAAATTCAAAATGCGAGTTTAAACTATTGCGATTACAACCCTGTCGCATTTTTCGCAATAATAAAAACAACGCAATAATTTCTGAATTTACAGTAAATTTTCCATAAAACAGCACAAACACTATGTGTGATGACTGAGTTTATCTTAAAATCAAATATATTTTTAAATAATATTCTAATCTTGTTTGTGTTCTGTCTGCCTGAATCTTTGCTGTACATTTTCAAATGCATTATTTCAGATTTTTTTTATTCTTCCACTTCGTCCTTTTTACCAAAAATTATGTTATGCCAAGACAAACTATGTTGTATTGAATAGTAAAAGTTGAGTTCTTGCTCATTTACAACATTTGTTAAACTCTGAAATTTTTCTAAAAAAATGTTGCTATATATCTATTACTAAATGTTTATGTGTTGATATTTTATGCAGAATTTAATATGCAACTAGATCCAGGTGAAGGTGAAGCATAGCAATAATGGTCAGTTAGATATTGAAATTGTCTCAGATGTAATAGGACAGGGTTTATATAGCAATTTCTAATGGACATCTAAACAAGTCATTGTAAATACCCAACTGTCATAATTACTCATACATTTACTGTAAACCAACATATTGTTACCATTTGGCACTTTCTTGCCTATTTTGTAGTGATTTTCTAAATTTGATTATGTATTTTTTGACAAGTTTACAACAATTTATAAGCATTATTCATCTTCTTGGAAAATCACAAAAATAAATGGCTTAAGAAAACTAGTTAGTTTACAGTATTGCTTCAAAAAGCCTATTATACTGTATAACCCTACATGTTATTTACACACTCAAGAGTTTTGAGTAAATGTCATTAGATGTGTATTAAGATATAGGCCCTGAATTTAACTTAAATACAAAACCTAATCTAATTATACATACGATCATCACTATAGTCATCTACTAGAATGATTTCATCTATCAGAGTCTCTGGACTTCTTTGGAAAACACTGAAAACAAAGCATAGGTCTTTATAAACTAAACAGATGTAGGACTTATTTTGAAAAAACATGGCACAATCATAAGAAAAAGATTTGGATGACTCATCTTATACAAAGTTTTAAATGTTCTGTTTAGCCCATTATATATCATGCTCTCCAATGTTTATAATTAGGATTTCTCTATCAAGTGAACCTGGTATAGATCATCCCAGAACATGAAATTATGAGTAGAAACTGTATCATACCATCGTTTTGTTTTTGTTGAACTCTTGGCTCTAAATGCTGCATGCTCATCTATTGTTAACAAAGTCTCACATAAAAATGGTCAAATCAAAATGATGGTATAATATGTCAACTAAGCATCATGGCAAATAATCCTACCAAGAACTGAATAGATATAAGAAGATGTGGTATGAGTGCCAATGAGACAACTCTCCATCCAAGTCACAGTTTGTAAAAGTAAACCATTAGAGGTCAAAGTATGGCCTTCAACAGATAGCCTTGAAGTATGAGAACTTTCTACTAAATAGTATCAAAATAGTTGCATTTATAAGGTGTTATTGTTACAATTCTCCAACAAATGGTCAAAGTCCAATAACTCCTATAATAAAATGCTTCGCTGAGCGCAGCCTGATACGACCGCAGAGGTCGGACCCTGAACAGTTGGCGCAAATTTGGACACAATATTCAAGCTTGATACGGTCTGAATTTGGATTGTGAACAAATTTTTGACATAATATAGGTTTCTGACACAAAATAAATGTGGTCAAAGATCTTATAAATCCATTGCGCAATACTGTGCAATTGAAGATTTCTTCTTGAAATTTTTCAAAAATTCTAAATTTTAAAAATTTTGAAAAAAAATATGAATCCTTTAAAAAAATTGGGAAAAAAATTCCCCCCCCCCTCCCAACTTTTTGATTCCCCCCTTGGAGCAATTACCCAAAAACTCAATCCCAAACCTTTCCTTTGTAGTATGGAACCTTGTAGTACAATTTCAGAGAGATCCATACACTTACACACAAGTTATTGTCTGGAAACTAGAAAAATGCTTGTTTCTGGTCCCTTTTTGGCCCTGAATTCCTAAACTGTTGGCCCCATAACCCCTAAAATAAATCCCAACCTTCTACTTGTGGTATTAAACATTGTGGTACAATTTCAGAACAATTGCAATACTTACACACAAGTTATTATCCTGAAACTAGAAAAATGCTTGTTTTGGGCCCCTTTTTAAGCCCGTAATTCCTAAACGCAAACCTTCCTTTTGTGGTATTGAACCTTCTTAAAAAATTTCATAGAGATCCATTCACTTAAACTAAAGTTATTGTCCGGAAACCAATGTGTCTTCGGATGACGACACAGACGACGACATCATACCATTATACGATCCCAAAAAATTTTTTGCGGTGGTCGTATAAAAATAGTTGAATCAAATGGTGGTACAATATGGTCAACTACACATTATGGCAAAATCCCAACAAGTATGAGAGCTTTTGGTAAAATGGACTCGGAGAAGTTGCGTTCAAAAGTCGTCATTGTTACAATACTAAATAAAATGCTCCGCTGGGGCGCAGCTTGATACGACCGCAGAGGTCAAACCCTGAACAGTTGGGGCAAGTATGGACACAACATTCAAGCTTGATACAGCACTGAATTTGGATTGTAATTAAATATTTGACACAGCATAGGTTTCTGACACAGAATGAAAGTGGTCTAAGAACTTATAATTTTTTAATTTACCTATTCATACATGTGATGGACTGTGAAACTCAGATCAGGAGATTGGGAAATTTTGGTCAGGAGATTAGGACTCAGATCAGGAGGTTTTTAATCGACATAAATTTTGTCGTAAATGTAACCGTTTGCTGTAAAAATGGTCTTTTAAAGTGTGTTTTCTTCAACTTTCCATCCAATTTATTATGTTTATAGTACCCTTGTACTTATAAAGTTTCTCCATCTTTATATTTTACATGTTCAATCTAACATTTTTTTTTTTCAGTATGTTCTTTAAATTTTTTACTTCATATTCTATAAAACATTTATTGCAACCAGAACATTTGTTTAACTATCTGCAAATAGCTTTTGTTTGCATACTCAGAAAATCATTCTAACTGTAAAATGTGGGTCATAGTTATTATATAAATTTCAATTTAAGCCTTGAAAGGAAGTATAGAATCCTCAAATAATTTTCAAATTATTATTTTTTTATTTGTCCTAAGACATTTAAAATCATTTATTTACCATTCTTTTATGATTATTTGTTCAATTTATATTTTATTTATATTCTTTTAAAAGATTTCATTAATAAAAGGAAAGTAACTTAAAACAGGATAAATCAAGGGAAGTAACCCAATAAATACACAGTTTTTGTTACACAACGGCAGTTAGCCTGAGGTAAAAAATCATTGATTACCAGTATGTTTGACACCCAAGCTGACAAGTGAAGCCATATAATTATGCATGTTAATTGATTTACAGGTAAAATATAACTTCAGGTAATGTGAGTTACACCAGATGCCTGAGATGATATGTTGGGCAGAAATTTTTCATTCATGAAAAATTTCATACACGGGATTATAATTTTCCTCTTCAACCGGAGGTCGGGAGGAGACTCCTGAAAACAGGATTATTGTACTCCTGTCGGGAGGTTCACATGTATGCTATTCAAACCATATCATTATTATTTGCTTTTATATATAAATCAGAAATAACCAATTTAAAATGGAAAATTTTAAAGAAAAAAAAAGGAAAAAAAAATCCCCCCCCAAATTTTTTGAACCCCCTTATGATTCATCGCCCCCACACTCAATCCCAGCTTTCCCTTTGTGGTATGGTACCTTGCAGTACAATTTTAGAGAGATCCATTCACTTGAACACAAGTTATTGTCTGGAAACTAGAAAAATGCTTGTTTTTTTGTCCCTTTTTGGCCCCTAAATCCTAAACATTTAGGGCAATTACCCCCAAACTCCAACCCAGCTTTCCCTTTGTGATATGGAACCTTGCAGTACAATTTCATAAAGATCCATACACTTACAAACAAGTTATTGTCCTGAAACTAGAAAAATGCGTTTTTTTGCCCCTTTTTGGCCCCTAATTCCCAAAATTTGGAGGAAATTACCCCCAAAAATCAATCCCAGTATTCCCTTTGTGATATGGAACCTTGTGATACAATGTCAGAGAGATCCATACACTTGAACACAAGTTATTGTCATGAAACTAGAAAAATGCTTGTTTTTTGCCCCTTTTTGGCCCCTAATTCCTAAAATTTGGAGGCAATTACCCCCTAAATCAATCCCAGCATTCCCTTTGTGATATGGAACCTTGTGGTACAATGTCAGAGAGATGCATATACTTACACACAAGTTATGTCTGGAAGTTACAAAAATGCTTATTTTTGGCCCCTTTTTGGCCCCTAATTCCTTAACTGTTAGTACCATAACCCCCAAAATCAATCCCCACCTTCCTTTTGTGGTATTGAACCTTATGGTAAAATTTCATTGAGATCCATTCACTTAAACTAAAGTTAGAGTGCGAAAACTAATGTGTATTCGGACGACGCCGCCGGACGACGACGACGACGACGACGCCAACGTCATACCAATATACGACCACAAAATTTTTTTTGCGGTCGTATAAAAAGAATGGTTGAGTTTCCATAACTCCCATTATAGATTTCAAATCATACTGATGATTTAACAAAGTAAAGAGAATATGATGGCGAATAAACTATCTAAGCATGAAAGCTTTCTGTCAAACATCTCTGTGTATCAAAAATGTTTTGGACTGACAAACAGACTAAGACCATAACCACTTTCCACCCAGGCGATGTACTGGGGACAAAAGCACGTACTGAAGAAAATTATTCATACGAAAAAAATTCCCTTGAACTCTTCAAAGTATGTATTGTAAGATATTCCTCCTACCAGAAATGTTTCAAATTATAACACATTTATAAAAACATTTTAGCTGATTAAATTGATTAATATAGTTCATGGTAATAAAACTGCCTACTATATAGTTACATAAAGAACTTTCATAGTAAACTAATGGATATTACCTGATTTGACAATACCTTTTCATATCATTCTTCCTACCTTTGGGATAGTCATTTTTTATATCAACTCATTAAACATCACAATAACCTCTTTTGTACATAATTTACGTCTCTATCTTAATATCAAATCAGCTTAGTTTTATGTATCAAGAAATCCACCAAACATTACCAGACAATTTTTCTCTAATCTTTCATTTTACAGTAAAGCAAAAAATTAATGAAAAGATAACTTTGTTTTTCTCAGCAAAAATACTACAATTATCTAATTATATCCTAAATGAAATAAAATACTGACCTTATCACAGTTCGTAATAAAGCTGACCTGGCCTCATTATGGAATGTTATGATTACACTTGTGGACGGAAGATCTGAGCGATATGGTTTACCACGACATCTGAAAAGAAAACAGACTTAGAATAAAATAGAGAAACTGGAAACAATACAACTCTACACACAAAAGAAACCCATTTACCCCATAATTACTTCAAATTTAACTGTATATAGTATATAGTATATATATGAGAAGATGCCAATACAAAATGGGTACCTCCTAAACAAATGGCAAAGTCAATACTTTGGTAAGGTAAACCCCAATCATACCAAAAGATTAATATAGGATGTGCACAAGAACATTATATGGCTATAATTGTGAGAAAGTTTCAATAAATTGTAATAGATGATGTGAAAACCAACTAAGGCAATGTCAAAGTCCATGCTTTGATAAAGAAACCCCCAAATGATTCAAATCAAAAAACAAAATAGGTGCACAAAAGCATTGTATGGTTACGAAATTTCAACTCTGTAGTGATTTCACTAGCGTCGCTGACTTACTCCTCTTTTATCAAACTTCACGTGTAGTATAAACTGCACAAAAATATATAGCAACGCAAGTCACATTGCAATTTCGTAGCATTGATATGGTAAAGATTCTGTGAAAGTTTCATTAAATCATAATTAGTTTAGGAGAAACAGATACAAATGTGTACTATAGTCAGATGGTGAGCAGATATAAGAAAGTCCATGTTGTCCTAAAGTTGTCCCCAAAAATGAATCCCATGAAGAAATGAAATAGGAGGTGCATAAGTACATCATGTGATCAAGATTCTGTGAAAGTTTCTTTAAATTCTGAGAAGCAATTCAGGAGCAGTTGCAGATTCAAATGTGGTACAGAAGGACAAATGAACTATCTGCAAACGAAAAGACAAATGACCAGATGAATGAACTGAAAGAATACCCATCACTGTATTTTGATTGCATTGAGAAAGCAGGGGCATGAGTTATGAAACTTATTCTATGCATTTTAATGCAATTGCTTAAATCATCCTACCAAATAAATAAACAAGAGTGCACACGCTGAAATGTCTCGCCTTCTTTACTAACCATTGATGTTATGTTGATAGTTCTAAATGAAAGCTTTACTACAACTATTACATAAACTTAACATGATCCAAGAAAATGAAGTCAAGGTCATATAAACCAAACGAGAAATACATGTCCACCTTACAATCATTCAATACACTAAATATAGTTGACCTATTGCTTATAGTTTCTAAGAAACAGACTTAACCATGAAAACTAAACATTGACCAATGAATCGTGAAAATGAGGTCAAGGTCAGATGAACCATGCCAGGCAGACATGAACAGCTTACAATCCTTCCATACAACAAATATAGCTGACCTATTGCTTATAGTTTAAGAAAAACAGACTGAAACACATAAAATTAACACTGAGCAATGAACCGTGAAAATGAGGTCAAGGTCATATACATCATAGAATATTTCCATACACCAAATATAGTTGACTTATTGCATATAGTATAAGAAAAAAGACCAAAACTCAAAAACTTAACTCTGACCACTGAACCATGAAAATGAGGTCAAAGTCAGATGACACCTGCTAGTTGGACATGTACACCTTACAATCATTCCATACACCAAATATAGAAGACCTGTTATTAAAGTATAAGAAAAACAGACCAAAACACAAAAACTAAGCTATAACCACTGAACCATGAAAATGAGGTCAAGGTCAGATGACACCTGCCAGCTAGACATGTACACCTTACAATCATTCCATACACCAAATATAGTAGACCTATTGCATACAGTATAAGAAAAACAGACCAAAACACAAAAACTAAGCTATAACCACTGAACCATGAAAATGAGGTCAAGGTCAGACGACACCTGCCAGCTAGACATGTACACCTTACAATCATTCCATTAACCAAATATAGCAGACCTATTGCATACAGTATAAGAAAAACAGACCAAAACACAAAAACTTAACTATAACCACTGAACCATGAAAATGAGGTCAAGGTCAGATGACACCTGCCAGTTGGACATGTACACCTTACAGTCCTTCCATACGCCGAATATACTAGACCTATTGCTTATAGTATCTGATATATGGACTTGACCTACAAAACTTAACCTTGTTCACTGATCCATGAAATGAGGTCGAGGTCAAGTGAAAACTGTCTGACAGGCATGAGGACCTTGCAAGGTACGCACATACCAAATATAGTTATCCTATTACTTATAATAAGAGAGAATTTAACATTACAAAAAATCTTAACTTTTTTTTCAAGTAGTCACTGAACCATGAAAATGAGGTCAAGGACATTGGACATGTGACTGACGGAAACTTCATAACATGAGGCATCCATATACAAAGTATGAAGCATCCAGGTCTTCCACCTTCTAAAATATAAAGCTTTTAAGAAGTTAGCTAACGCCGCCGCCGTAGCCGCCGCCGATCTGAGTTTTGTGGTAATAAGTATTGTGTATAAGTTTCATAACATTTGGTTGAGGCTAACTTAAGTTAGAGAACGGAAACGAAAAATTCAGCAATTTTTCCATTTGTATAGGGGAATAACTCTAGAACGGTTAAAATGACAACCCCAAAATTCAAACTTGATCTGTATTTTGTGGTAATTAGCATTGTGTATAAGTTACATAGTATTTGGTTGAGGCAAACTCAAGTTAGAGAACGAAAACGAAAAATTCAGCAATTTTTCCACCCCGCCGTCGCGGAGGGGGCATCAAGTTTTACCCTTGTCCGTCTGTACGTCCCAAAGTTGGTTTCCGTTCTCTAACTTTAGTTTGCCTCAACCAAATGTTATGAAACTTATTCACAATGCTTATTACCACATAACACAGATCAGGTTTGAATTTTTGTGGCATCACTTTAACTGTTCTAGAGTTATGCCCCTTTTCAAAGGGCATAACAAAATGAAATGTCTTCTCCAACCTTGAAGATCATTTTTGCGAATAAAAAATGAACATTACTGTTTCATTACTGCATTAGAATTCAAACTTGTAATCTGTTAGTTACAAAGATATACTCTCGATCCAGACCATCTTGGTTTTACTAATTATATAAATCTGTCAAATTATTCACACATATAATATATTGTTAATTGAACTTTATTTTGCTTTGAAGATTGTTAATGAGGACTTATTACCTACCTTAATTTATTTTACTGATTTATGTTTTTGTTTAAATACATGAGACAAAAACGTGAGTATTAAATCTTGTATTATGTATTTGATATACTGATTGTCTTTAGGGAAACTACATATTACCACTTTTATTGTCAAATACTTGCTTATGCAACTGTCAACCTTTAGAAATAAGTAAAATCCACTAAGAATCAGAATCAGTGGGTGTTACAAAAAAAAATCTATAATATTAAACAAGATGGACATCTTATCATTTTTTTTTACCTTGCAGTATTCAGCATGCACCAACAAAGCACTCATAGAACAGAAAATATGTTTTTACAGTTTAAATTACTAAGGAATAATTCACTTGCTTTTTAACACATTAATTTAATTAAATCAGGTCTGATTTTCTTTCATCATATTTCAAATGAGTACTTCAGCTTGGTGGATATTTTGTAGGCCGAATTTCCAGTTTGTCCACACAGCCAACCCATGTTGCAGACATGATGTTTCTATTGTTTTATCTAGGCAGACTAGGCTTAAGAGTAAAACCAATTGACATACACATCAAGCATTTCTATTCAACATTTCAACAAGATAAAACAGAATTTCTTTTACATAAAACATGGGTGTCCCATGAATGAGTGGAAGAAGTAAGTAGGTGCATTTGGCTATTCTTTTCTTCTCAACTATTCCAGTATTTACATATCCTTGACTTTTAATTTTTTGGTTTAAGCATTACTGAAGAAGGTAAATCCAGAATAGAGCTTCAGGTGCCACAAATTTATAAAGTGTTATTTTCATTTCATAAGTTATATAATAAACAGCTGCGCCATGACCTCATGATACGCCCGTCGTCTTGTGTGTGAATTTTTATGCAATAATTATAAATAGTTTTTGACATACGGCCTGACATGCAAAAACCTGTCTCGCCTTCTTTACTAACCATTGATTTTATGTTGATAGTCCTAAATACAAAGCTTTACTACAAGTAACACATAAACTTAACATGGTCCAAGAAAATGAAGTCAAGGTCAGATAAACCAAACGAGAAATACATGTACACCTTACAATCATTCAATAAACCAAACATAGTTGACCTATTGCTTATTGTTTCTAAGAAACAGTCTTAAACAAGAAAACGTAACATTGACCAATGAACCATGAAAATGAGGTCAAGGTCAGATGAACCATGCCAGACAGACATGTACACCTTACAATCAATTAAGGCATTAAATATAGTTGACCTATTGCTTATAGTATCTAAGAAACAAACTTAACCATGAAAACTTAACATTGACCAATGAACCATGAAAATGAGGTCAAGTTCAGATGATACCTGCCAGACAGACATATACACCTTACAATCCTTCCATACATCAAATATAGTTGATCTATTGCTTATAGTCGAAGAAAAACAGACCAAAACACAAAAACTTAACACTGAGAAATGAACCGTGAAAATGAGGTCAAGGTCAAATAAAACCTGTGAGACTGACATGTACATCATAAAAAATATTTCCATACACCATTTATAGTTGACCTATTGCATATAGTATAAGAAAAACAGACCAAAACTCAAAACTTAACTTTGACCACTGAACCATGAAAATGAGGTCAAGGTCAGATGACACCTACCAGTTGGACATGTACACCTTACAATCATTCCATATACCAAATATAGTAGACCTACTGCTTATAGTATCTGATATATGGACTTGACCACGAAAACTTAACCTTGTTCACTGATCCATGAAATGAGGTCGAGGTCAAATGAAAATTGTCTGGCAGGCATGAGGACCTTGCAAGGTACGCACATACTAAATATAGTTATCCTATTACCCATAAGAAAGAAATTAACATTACAAAAAATGTTGACTTTTTTTTCAAGTAGTCACTGAACCATGAAAATGAGGTCAAGGACAATGGACATATGACAGACGGAAACTTCGTAACATAAGGCATCTATATACAAAGTATGAAGCATCCAGGTCTTCTAGCTTCTAAAATATAAAGCTTTTAAGAAGTTAGCTAACGTTGCCGCCGCTGGATCACTATCCCTATGTTGAGCTTTCTGCGACAAAAGTCGCAGGCTCGACAAAAACTCAATATCTCTAAAATAAAATTTTGAATCAAAACCAAAAAGCATACAGATCTTTAGATTAATATAACTAAGAAGTGTGTAAAATTTTAAGCAATAATCATAAATCGTTTTTGAGATACGGCGCGACATGTGAAAACCCCCCTTTTGAAAAAAAAAAAAAATCAATATCTCAAAAATGAAATTTTGAATCAAAACCAAAAAGTATACAGATCTTTAGATTAATATAACTAACGACATGTGGAAAACCCTTCCCCCTTTTTTTACAAAATACTCAATAACTCAAAAATAAAATTTTGAATCATCACCAAAAAGTATACAGATCTTAAGATTAATATAACTAAGAAGTGTGTAAAGTTTTAAGCAATAATCATAAACTGTTTTTGAGATACGGCGCAACATGTGAAAAACCCCTCTCCCTTTTTTAACAAAATACTCAATATCTCTAAAATAAAACAGACAGATGGACAGACAGACAGACGGACGGACGGACAGACAGACGACATTTGTATACCATAATACGTCCCTGTCATGGTGTAAACTATTTAACAAATATCAAGTCAATATCTTCAAGCATGACGGAAAAAAGTGTGGAAAACTGGTTATTAAAATGAATTTTCTAAGTCCAAGGACCATAACTCTGCACAAAATCATCAGACCGGAACAAAATTTGAACTTGGTCTCTAACTTGTCATGATAAAACTATATACCAATTATTCAATCAATATCTTCAAGCTTCATGAAAAAAGTGTGGAAAACTGATTATTTGAGTGAATTTTCTAAGTCCAAGGACCATAACTCTGCACAAAATTATCAGACCGGAACAAAATTCAAACTTGATCTGTAACTTGTCATGATAAAACAATATACGAAATATCAAATCAGTATCTTCAAACACGAAGAAAAAAAGTGTGGAAAACTGATTTGCCGTATGGACAAACAGAGAGACAGACGGACAAGAGTGCAAACCTAAAGTCCCCTTCAACTTCGTCGGTAGGGGACTAATAAGGAGATGTGGTTTGATTGCCAATGGGACAACTATTCACCCAAGTTCAAATGAAGTGGATGTAAACAATTATAGGCAACCGTACGGCCTTCAACAATGAGAAGAACCTAAACCGTATTGTCGGCTATAATAGGCCCTGACATGAAAAATATGAAACAATTCAATTGAGAAAACAAACAATTTATGGAAAACAAATATGACAGACAAGAACCGACAACAACCACTGAATTACAGGCTCCTGACTTGGGACAGGCACATAAAGAATGCGGCAGGGTTTAACAAGTCTGTGAGTGCTCAACCCTCCCCCTAACCTGGGACAGTGGTGTTACAGCACAACATAAGAACAAACCATAAACATCAGTTGAAAATGGCTTATCTCATCAGATCGATATAAATTAAGTATACTATCGATATCATTTGGAGAATATTTTTTGACTTGATAAAATTTTTTTAACTTACTTTGTGTGTCGAGTGTCTATAACACCTCGGTTACTTTTTAAATTATCACTGGCTAATTGATTATATTTATTTTTAGCATAGCAGTCCTCTCCAACATTACACCTAGTTTTATCAACGTAAGATTTCTCATCAAATTCACGCCATGAAACATCATTAGGTCCATCAGGTAATGGCTGTATTTTTGCTTTTATTATTTCTACTGGTTTCAACTTATTCAAAAAAACTGGTACTTTTTGATCCGAGATCTTTGGTTCTGGTGGTTCACGGATTTCTGTATCATGAGGGACTTTTTCAACAAACTCAACAACATCCCTTGGTACTCCTCCAGAAAATGAATCCTGAAATGTAAATAAAACCAAGACTTTGTAAAGGTACTCAAATTATATCACAACTGGTGAACATAATACACAATACATTGTACCTTTAACATAACAAAGAAATACACATGAGGATAAGCAATTCATATACAATGTTTGCTTATAACAGCCAATTTTTACTATTTGCACTTACCTCAGTCATACTGAGAATTTTACTTTTATTTTCATTGACTTTTAAAAATTTTCAATTTCTCTCTTCCACAATAGTTTTGAAAATTTTAGATGCTTAGTGCATTTAACCCCCTTACATACTATTTTAGCCATGTTGGCAGGTAGGCGAGATCATCAGAACATTTTTAACGAGTTGCTGTAATGGGGGTGATTGTAGCCAAGTGGTTTATAGATGATTTTTGTAAAAGTTAGGAGAATGAAATGAAGACAACAGACTCAAATGTATTGCAATAGCTCACACATGCCTTTAGGCCAGGTGAGCTAATAAGGAACATATAAGTCCACAAATTAGGCCAGTTGAGCTAATAAGGAACATATAAGTCTACAAATTAGGCCAGTTGAGCTAATAAGGAACATACAAGTCCACAAAACAGTTGACAGATGTTTTTATTCTAAGCTTTTATTCATTATTTTACTCAAGGTGTATTTAATTATCTTTGATTGCCTCAGGTTCTGGGCTTTTCTGTTTAAGGTACTGTAAATTCAGAAATTATTGTGTGCATTTATTATTGCGAATTTTGGAGAACAGACAAAAATATGAGATTAATTATTGTGATTTCAGGAAAATCTGCATACAGATATATGTATCAGATATCATAATGCGAGTTCTTATTATTGCGATTATCACCAAGTTGCATTATTCCCATTAATAAAATCCTCGCAATAATTTCTGAATTTAAAGTAATCCAGCAGAGATAACAGTTTTAGTAAGTTGAAACACTGCCATTAAATTTTCTAACAGACAGAACCATCAAAGTTAACATATGAAAATGTTTACCCAAATTTAACAGGAACAATAGGAAAAATAAAGATCATTTGATTGTGAATCCTTGATGGGTTTTCCCCTTTGTGAAACATTGAAGATCTAATTGTTCATCTGATTTTGGAAATAACATATTAACTACATTAATAACTACACTGATAAAATTTGTTACTCCTGACTTTAATCTGACATGACTTTCCTTACACAAAAATGTCAAAGTGTTTCACCCTTTCATGTCAATACATACAAGTAACATCTACATACATACTGATACAAGTGTTTCTGTCAAATTAAACAGTTGAACAACTTCATTCCTACAGATTTTACAATGTTCATTTTAGTTACAATTGAATGTTACATTCATTTTCTTGCACTGGGTTGATACCAATGCTGGTTGACTGTTAGTTAGAGAGGGTATCATCAGCTTAGTATTAAGTGCTTCAGTACTGACAAGATTGCTAACATACTTTTTTAAATTCTATTGATAAATTTAGAAATTATTCAGACACCAAGGTTCCAATTCCATCAGGCAAAGTTGAAATAAGATACTTTTTAGGTCCCATGTGGGTCATATAGCTCTTCCTATGTTAAGGTATTCATACATCTTTGGATTCGGAAATATTGGTTTTTTAGCATTCTTGAAGAAAGAATATATATCCAGAAAAGAAAAATACTTTAAACACACCAAATTTATAGTTTCATATTTTTTTAAGTAAACTCGATATATGATGCAATTAGATTTTTTATTAATTATGTAAACTAATATTTTATGTGATACATGTATGCTTCTGTATATGAATTAATATTGTACTCATGTTGTGTTGAAATAAGTACAGTGAATAATCTATGTTATTTTAAAAGAGGACAGGTATGATGAGTTTTCTGAAGATGAGGTCAAGGACAATAGACATATGCCAGATGTAAAATTTCTAACTGTATAATAAATATGGGTTATCCAGCTCTTCAACAGTCTGACATATGAAGCTTTATACAAATAGATAACATTTTTGCAATGTAAAATTTGTATTAATTTATCTTCCTTGGCAAGAATTTTTTTTTTACAGCTTTATTTCCCAAACTTAATCATGTTAATTGTTAATAATCATGAAATTAGTTTTCTATTTTATCTTCTAAATATATAGATTGTCGTAGCTACAATTTAATTGTTATAAAATTAATAAAATGCAAGAGGCATTTATCATACCTAATTAATACAAATTAATTTCTGTCAAAAATGCAGTTCATTGAGTTCTAAAAGCATACAAATTTACATCAAAGTACAATTTATCTCCCAATTACCTCTACTTTGTCTTAAAGAAGATCAATCAAAATGTAACTATGATAAAACATTAAACCAGCAAAATAAAAAAGTACTTGTGACATAATTATGATCATTGCACAAAATTTCATGCGATTCTGTTGCAGTGAACTTAATCATTTAAGTACAAATTTTCACCAACAAAGATTAATTATGCTGGAGAAAAATAATAGATATCAATGGGAGCTTACTCATGTCAATCAAATCATTGTGTAAAGATACTCCAAAATAGATCAAAGAATTCAAATGACTGGGATACTCAAAATGGCTCTTCAACAAAGGAGAATGCTCTATATAGAACATTCAAATATTTTAAATTGAAACATAATAAACTGTTAACACAGAGATATGTCTCGCCTATTTGTTATTTTGATAATGCAAATGTTGAAATTAAAATAGCAATACTTTAACATGTAAGTTATGCAAATATTCAAAGTCAATGAACCATGACTGAAGGTACAGGGCTAAACATCTCCATGGAAATGAGATGTGCCAATGCTAATACAACTGCAAACCAAATACCATTGACTTTTCATAAGTCGTTCCCTTTAAACAAACCTAAACACAAACATTAACTTGTAAACTATGTAAAAGTTTCAAAGTCAATGAACCATAATTAGGGGGTGGGGTTATATAATCTCCATGGAAATGAAACTTGCAAATGCCAATACATTTGCATACCGAATATTATTGACTTAACATTAGTGGTTCATCTTGAACTGACCTAATCACAAACCAATACATGTAAACTAAGCAAAAGTTTCAAAGTCAATAGACCATGACTGAGGGGTAAGGACCAAATATTCTCCATGGAAATGAGATGTGCTAATGCTTATACAACTGCATACCAATTATCATTGACCTACCACTAACAGTTACCCTTAAACTGACCTAATCACAAACTAATACATGAAAACTAAGCAAAAGTTTCAAAGTCAATAGACCATGAATGAGGGGCAGGGCCAAATAATCTCCATGGAAATGAGATATGCCAATGCTTATACAACTGCATACCAAATATCATTGACCTACCACTAGTGGTTCCCCATAAACTGACCTTATCACAAACTAATACATGTAAACTAAGCAAAGTTTCAAAGTCAATAGACCTTGACTGAGGGGGCAGGGCTAAATAATCTCCAAGGTAATGAGATATGCCAATGTTAATACAACTACATACCAAATACAAATATCATTGACCTACCACTAGTGGTTCCCCATAAACTGACCTAATCACAAACTAATACATGTAAACTAAGCAAAGTTTCAAAGTCAATAGACCTTGACTGAGGGGGCGGGGCCAAATAATCTCTATGGTAATGAGATGTGCCAATGCTAATACAACTGCATACCAAATATCATTGACCTACCACTAGTGGTTCACCATGAACTAGACCTAATCACAAACTAATACATTGTTGATGCCGCCGACGCTGACGCCGGAAACAGCATACCTATGTCCTGCTTTTGACTCCGTCAAGGCGAGACAAAAATGACTAATTTTCAAAATTTGGAAAAATGAAAAAAAAATCCTGAAACAATTCTGTAATAGCAGGTGCACAACTTCAACATTTGTACAATCTTCCCGTGAAGTTTCAGGGACCTGGGAAGAAAACTGCAGGAGGCATGGATTACATAAATCTTCTACCCTCTTTTATAAATTTAGCTGAAAAACTTAGTTCTCAGGTCTAGAAAAATGAGAAAAAACTCCTAAAAAATTCCATAATAACAGGTGCACATTACTTCAACACAAATAAGATACCCACTCTTTCCAGCCCTCTTAATTATATAACATCACCATAATATAATTAGGTTTTGGACTTCATTATCATACTGGATGGAGTGGAAGCAGTATTGCACAAAATTACTGTAGGAAATAATAAATTGCTTCGCCGAGCACAGCTGGATATAACCGCAGAGGTCCAACCCTGAACAGTTGGGGCAAAAATGGACACAATATTCGCGCTTGATACAGGTCTGAATTTGGATTGTAATTAAATAATTGACACATAATAGGTTTCTGACACAGAATAACTGTAGACAAAGAACTTAGAATCGGTTATATGATTTGAATTTATATTCAATTTTTTGTTTTTATGCAATACACTATGCTGTTGCGAATTGACCCCCCCCCCCCCCCCCCAAAAAAAAAAATTTACCCCCCCTTTTTTTTGCTTTTGTGCAATACACTATGCTGTTGCGAATTGACCCCCCCCCCCCCCCCCCCCCCAAAAAAAAACAAACAAACAAACAAACAAAAATTTACCCCCCTTTTTTTTTTGCTTTTGTGCTATACACTATGCTGCCCCACCCAAAAAAAAAGAAAACAAATTTATAATTTCTGAAATCTGAAATGAGAAAGAATTGTCCCCCTCACCATCTCTTTCCCGCAAGATATGGTCATAATCTCAATTCAAATTTCCAATGGAGTTTGCAACCATAATTACCCATTTAAATAGATCATAAAAGTCTTAAAATAGAAAATGATATACTTAATCATGGCTAAAATTAATATTCCTTAATCAGCATTTTTAAATAGTAACTTCTAAAAATAAATTGACAGCTTATCACCTCAAGACAATACAACATTTCTTTATACATAATTTAAAAGCAGTGTAAGGGAGGTAATCCAAACATAATATTGTACTCTTTTTTAATTGTCCATTAACCAGGAAATCCGTGTTTGTCCCCCTTTTTTGCCCCTTATTC